AGTTTTGTAGGTTACAGAAACATTCCTGATTAATAACTTTTTACTAGGTATTTTGTTTTCACAGTACAAATAAAAACAAAGAAAATTAACTCATTCCCAATTTAAATTACGAAAGCTACTCGATCAAGACTGTTTTTTGAATTGAGTTAGTTTTACTTAAAACATGTTATGTAATCAGTTTCTTTGAGTTATATGAACCTAGCTGGTTTTACAGTGTATAATATAACACATCAGCTAGCGGCACACTAGAGACGAATTGAGATTGTAACTTTACTGCCCTGACCTAGCTTTTTTTAAACAATGAGGCAATGAAACCTATTAGGCCACTCCCTTAAGAGGGACAAGAGAACAATACCTCTTAGCATTACAATAACGAAGCTTGTGCTCTGTTAGGCAATATTAAAGCTTATGCTATCTGTTATTAAACATTAACTGCGGCGGAAGCACAGAGCCTGTGGCCCAGAGTGAAACCTGGGAATGGGGAAGTATGTAACTGAAGTTTATTCATCTCCATGCACACACAAAACATTATTAACAGACCCCCTGCAGACAGACAAATCTCTGGCTTCATCCCAGTAGAGTAGAGCCATGCTGCAGGAGAAGCGGCAGCAGTCGAGGCGTTGTATGTTCAACTTGTGCAGGACAACAAAGGATGTACCTCGACAGCAGCCGGAGACGGCCTGCTGGCGAGATGACTGTGTGTCTTCCTGGAGGGACAGTGGTCAGTAGCAGACCTCTTCCTATGAGTCTGGCCTCTGAACTCAGCACTGACTTCAGCTTCCTGCCAGGACACGAGATCTGAGGAGGGAGCAGATAATGATTCTTGGCGTTTTCCTGTACTATACTGTTTGATTTCTGTTATATGTGACCTGTTAGTTTGGTGTGCAGAGTGGTAACACAAGATTCCATTCTTATGCTTCATTGGCACCATGTCAACCTAATTCATAAGGATGAATGGGAAAATGCCCTATTGTTACAACTTGGGAACTTTCACTTATTTTACAAATTGTTACCCCCATTAGCACTGTTGTCACACTAGATAAATTGGAAAGCATGGTTTGTTAAGAAATGAAACCAAATACAGTTTGTAGCTCTTCTTTAATTGGCCAGTTTGATTATTTTAAAGTTATTATTGGATTTTATTTGGATGTTTGCAGCCTGGTTTGCCTGTAGTGGGAGATATTGTAGTGGTCAGACATTTCCCACACCTCCACCTTGCAATCTAACTAGTTGGGTGATGTGAACATATCTACTCGGCAGCTCTTTATTTAGATCTGTCTGGTATGAACTGAATGTAGCATTAGCCTTCACATAGCCCAGAGGATGCTTTTTACCTTCATATGTCACATCTGACATGTTATCTGTTTAGCGAGAGTAATTCTGAAGATTCCAGACAATGCTTTCATATTTGTGGCTCTGTTTTGTAGTTGTAGACATGCCTTAAGTGTCAGTCACAACTTGACATTAAGTTTTGGTTGTTGTTGGAATCTAGCTGTTGACATTCTAAAATCCTACTCATAGCTGATCTTCTTACTGGTTGAGTGGAGGGTGTGTCTGTGTTTGTGCTAGCCTGGAAAGGGTGTGTAGCCCTGATAAAAGAGCCATTAGGTATTAGTCTTTATGGAGCCTTTCACTGCTCCAGCGTGGAGTGAAAGGAGGGGCTTGTTCCTGGCTGCCAGGCCCAGGCTTCGCGCCATAGGGTCGGTCACCTCGGCCTCAATAGCAGGCCTGTCTGGAGACCCCATGTCATGACTTCCTGGGAGGGAAGTTGTTTCAGCTGGTGGTTAGCTGGCCTGCACACTGCAGAGTGTGGGTGTGAGTGCATTTTCATGTGTTTGTATGAAGACCAAATGTCCTAACAGGAATTGAAACGTTTGGATCCCTGAAAATGAGGCTCTGTGTTAGGGTTTAGTGTTAAGATTAGATTGGATTTGATTGAGCACAGTCTCACTGACTGTAGTCAGGCCCTCTACAAATGTATGTGCGTAAGGGGGGTCCTGTCTGTAGGAGGAAAGGAATCTTTTAATCTTACCCAGGATATAGTTAACCTTGTTGTTGCTTGACAAAGACCTTAGTTACAGAAGAGTGGGAGTGTTTTCTTAGCAGATGAAAAGAGAGAGACTGTTTGCCTTTTTCAAAAGCCCATGTTTGACCTCACACCGTCTGCACTCATACTGTGAAATTCCTCACAGCTAACGATAAACTCAAGGTTTCCATAATCAGAGGTGATATTTGAAGGCATTAATAAAGCAAGATAGACACCACCGTCCATTACTGGGAGGAAATGATAATGTTTACGTTATCAAATGTAGCAGTTAATCTTTAATAGAAGAAGATGCGTTGCATTAAGGGTTGAGAGGGTAACTACAGTATAGCCAGCCATACATTTTACAGTTGATTCAGATGTTTCTTCAGTGATTAAAATCAAATAAGAAAAGCTTCATGTGACGTATATTCAAATAAAGTTGAAGTACATTTTCTGCACTTTCATACAAAGTCGCTTGTAGAGAGGAAAACTCTTCTTTTGCAGTGACCCCTGACCCACTTGTCTAAATCTGTGTTGCTCAGGGGATGTAATTGGATATAACTGAGCCTTGAAATAAACTCATGTATTAAAGGAAAACCCTTTGCCTTGCTCGCTTGAGTGGAGTCGGAGAGCAAAAATGTTTCAACAATCTGATACCTCTAACATAAATGTAAGGTCATGCTGTCAATCCCTTCACAATCTGACTGCAAGTGAACATGCACCGAGAGGTCCACTGTAGATGATGCCAATTTTCATACCCAGAGTAGCAAGAAATAGACCAGAATGCAGCTACGAGACTGGACAGGCTTTAAGTAAGCATGGTAACTGTGATCAGACGTGACAGCTTCTTTAACAAGCTGTTGAACTGTGTAGCTACAGTGTGTTTATGTGCTCATATCCCGCCTGCAACTGAAGTTCATGCTCCCATATCTTTTAAAATCTTGGAAATCAGTCACTGGAAATAAGTGAAGCAAATTGAATCAAAGTGGGTTCACTGAAGAAGAAAGTTGCAGCGACTCCTTATAGATGAACTCTGAACAGATCGATATCTATCTAAGTGAAAAGGAGACGCAAGGGTGCAGAGTTCTGGAATAAAAATCGAGTGGGTTTGTCTGTAGTTACTAGACAGTGATGACATGAGGTGGTGGAATCCAGTCCGCCAGGCCTGTCCCAGTACGAGAGCTCAGCAGGCCTCCTCTGTGGCCCAGAGCTGACACAGGCACATAGCAGGAATGTGACTCCACAATATGACCTACAAGAAATGAAATGTCACACACGAGGAATGCTGGGAACTTGGTGTTAAGGAGGAGAGATTACCACATGCCACGTTGGGTGTTTGTTGTCCTGGAGTTGCAGAGCCTTCGGCCTATAGACAAGTTTTATTGGTGCAGAATAATTCATGAAATGGTGCTGTGTCTTATGGGAAAACAGAAGAGGGAACATGAAGGCCAGTTGTACTGCGCTGCACTGATATGCAATCCATGCCTGAGAGATCCAATTCCGTGTTTACATCTTAACCACTATCCTTTTTAATGCGAGGTTTAACACAATGGCACCATTTTTATCTCAAACACGAAGAGGAATGCTCTCCATTAGGGCTTCCATTCATTATAACAACAGATGAATCAGTTGATAAACAGGAAGTTAAGCAATTATAAAATGACTGGTTACACCTTCATAAAAGTGAAGTGTTTGCTTTCTTTCATTTCGCATCAGTTTTGAATCCTACGTGAACATCTCCGAGTCTATAGTCATATAGTTCTGTGTTAAAGATCCAGCGTGTAACATTAAGGAGGATCTATTGGCAGAAATGGAATATAATATTCATAGGTATGTTTTCATTAGTGTATAATCACCTGGAATTAAGAGTTGTTGTGTTTTAGTTACCTTAGAATGAGCTGTTTTTATCTACAGAGGAAAGCGGGGATCCCCTTTTATGGACGCAGCCATGTTGAACCGCCATGTTTCTACGGTATCTCAGAACGGACGATACTAACAGTGACTCTACGACTTGCAATAGTATTACACCACAAGGTGTAAAAACTTCAAAACACCAGTTTGACACCAGTCAAATGTGCAATGCTATTCTATTTCATTATTTATCTTTTAGAAGCTACTCTTTGTGCTCTTGTTATTTTTTATTCTGCCCTTTCTGTATGCTGTTGCAAACTGCAATTTCCCCATTGCGGGACAAATAAAGGTTTTCTTATCTTATCTTATCTTATCTTACATAAGGCCAGATTTTTCCTGGTTTTGGTGGCCGTCATAGTCTCCTTTGTGCTTGGTTGAGTCAGGGGGTTTCAGTTGGTTCAGTTGGATCTGCAATCTCACCGCTAGATGCCACTTAATCCTACACACCCAGCCTTTAAGTATATACACAAGCTGCGTCTTGATATTTGGATTTTACTCCTGAGATTGATGAAAATTGAAGAGATGACGTTGCTGCTCTAAGAGACTAAGTAGGGCAAAAAATACAAGATTGTTTCTTAAATCAGAAAAACATACAGAGGCTATTTTTACATGAGTTTTCTAGGTACCCTGTCATGAAGACAAGTTGTGCCACAGGCAACTGAAATTAAAACACAATCCGAACACTATTGTCAGTTTCAGTTTCATGCAGCCACACTTCTTGAACATTTCTAGATCTTAGTTGACTAGACACTTGTGAGTCTTTGTGTCGTAATGTTTTATTGTATCATTTTAAACAATGTGCATGTATCTTTCATTATGTATAAGTAGACATTTTATTGAAGACTGCTTTCTATTCTCAAGTGCCAGGATTCCCTTGTTGGAATAAAATCCCTTTGAAGTTCTGTCTTGATTGTCTTGTGGCTTTCATAAAAAATGAAATGGTACTGTAGTTTTAACAACAGTAATTATCCCTGTGGGGAAGCTATAGATTTAAGTTTGAGCGTACGGTCCTCTTTGCACTGACTGTGATATGTGACGTGCGTCTGCTGTGCTGTCCTTGCAGATGGATGGAGGCCTGTCTGGACGAAGAGCTGCCTCCCACCACGGAGCTGGAGGAGGGGCTCAGGAACGGCGTCTATCTGGCCAAGCTGGGCAACTTCTTCGCCCCGCACACCGTCTCCCTCAAGAAGATCTATGACCGCGAACAGACGCGTTACAAGGTGAACATTTCCTCTGCATTGTGGTGTGGTGGAACAACCGCTGTATAGTTGCATTCATTTCCAGCTCCGTGTGCTTTGAAGTAACTCTGTTGTTAAGGAGATTAAAGATTGCAAATCATGTTAAAAACATCACCAGCTCAGAGTCTGACTTAGTAAAGTAAATAAAGTAAGTCTAATCTTCCAGGCTGATGAGTATACACAGCAAGTCATAAAGCAGTCCAGCCTTTAGTTCTCAAGTAAAAGACTGAACCTGATTGTTCTGCTTTTGAAAAGATCCTCCTCTTGGAGCCATGAACCACCACATGAGGGTTTCTAAAATGCAAATGTCCTAATTAAGATAGAATCCCAGTATCAAAAGGCAATAATTGTTAATCCTAAAATGAAACAGCATTGGCTATTTCAACCATTTTTTTGACTGCCGCATCCTTTTGTATAGCTTTTGTAAAAGCGGGAAGTGTCAGTCAAATGCTCTAAAGACTCCATACCATATGTGTTTTGAAACCAGACGTTGACGTATTTTATGACCACAAAACGCTTTCTGCCTTCTATGGAGCTGCAAACAGAAGAGCTTATCTCCATCATTTTGGTCTGATATGTAACTATGAGATCTTTATGGCTCTACAAGCGTTTGTGGAGTGTGTATCGACACAGCGTTGTAACCTGAAGCTGGGGAGGATGGGGCCTCAGTGGGAATGAGGCTGGATTTGAGTCTTTGATTTAGGACTGAACAACGTGTTTGTCGTGTCCTGACGTTTTCTTTCTCTCTTGCAGGCGACGGGTCTCCATTTCAGACACACAGACAATGTCATCCAGTGGCTCAACGCCATGGCAGAGAAGGGACTGCCAAAGGTGAGCACCCGTCTGTGGCCTCTCTCACACACATACCCCAATGCTATCTGTCACATGCAAATATACCTGTAATTGAAACTACAGTGAGAGTAGTGCTGATCTTTATTTTATTAAATATAAACCATCAGCTAGGGGCTCCTAAGACCAAAATTTAAATATTTAGAAATACTTTTTATTTTTGTATTTATTCATTTGTTCAACAGTATTTTTTGTTTTTGGTCCTTTACAGTCCTTCAAGGCCGGGTAGACCATATTGGTTTTGCATGATTTAGGTCATTAACTGCATATATATACAGTTTGTTACATTGATCTTGAATATTATTAAATTATATTGGTTTTAGAATGATTACCTGCCTTCAGGGCATCCATTGGTGCCAGTTTATTTCAGAACAGTATGAAAATAAACCTGCAGAGACTATGCTAAGGAATTAAGGAATGTTTTCTTTGCAGTACAATCAAGAAAACTCACATGGACCTTTATAAAAGGTTTTGGTCGTTCATTTTACTTAAAGAATTGCTGTTCAGCAAACAATAAATCGCAACCAACAGTGTTTATCAGTGTGATGAATTATCTACCCCAAACAAGGTTTCCAGTCTGTGCAAGTCGGTTTTCACACTGTGGTGAAATGATCTGAGACCAGTGAAGAAGAAAGGTCAATAGATTTGTAAAGTGTGTATGTTTTGTTAGTGAAATGGTCCTTTAAGACCTAAAGACGACTTACCCTGAAATAAGTAAACAGTGGCCTATTATAGTACAAGTGCTTTTCTGAGAACTTTCCACCATGTTCGCTCTGGAGAAACTCTGAATACTTGTCATTATGTTGGCATGAAAAGAAATTGAGTATCAGCCCAAAATATCACCGGTTGGCAGCTTCAGCAGAAAATATAAGCAACTGCCTTGAAAAGTTCCAGTTCCATTGCGCCACAAATACAATGTCAGGGCGTGTGAATGCACATTTACATTGTGTAAGCCCCCCCTGTTCGAGCTAATATTCTGAATCACTCCTGCACACATGCTGCGACACGTTGGCATGCTATCGTGGACCTGCTGAAAGTGCTGCTCTGATTGACTCACTGTTCCTGTCTGTGTTTCAGATCTTCTATCCCGAAACCACAGACATATATGACAGAAAGAACATGCCACGCTGCATCTACTGTATACACGCACTCAGGTACTCTCTCCGTTTCTCTTTTCTCTTTCTTTGTCTGATTACATTGTACAATCTGGGTATGTGGCCTTGCAGCATGTTGGTTAAACACAATCGGATTACTGATTAGATTCTTCAAATTCAAACTGAAAAGCATTAAAAACACTGTGTTGGGGTCAAACAACAGATAGTGTTTTAACTGTTTGCTGTAGAAATCGTATGAATTCCTCATTCACTGGATTGCGAGCGCTCAAACGACTCACTTGACAGGCTGTTTATTCCCTGTGGACCGTACACATGTGGTCTGAGTATGTTTCAAGTCTGTGACATTTTTATGAGGTGAACTGTGCAGTTTTTCAGCAGAAAGGCATTCAGTGGTACAAGGTATGGAGCAGTTTGTTTTAATGCAGCATTTCACCCCAGGTAAAATGGATGCAGGGGCCAACCGGCAGAGCAGACGCACAATTTTAGTGTTTCTGTGTTTGTATGTGCCCATGTTCCAGGCTGTTGACTGGCGCAAACACAAACCAGTAACACCGGGACGGCACAGCGCTGCCAGAGAAACGTGCTCATTAACGTTTTAATTAAAAACCACAGAAAACAAGCAACATAGTTAGTTCAACTGGTGATGTTTTTATACTAGAATTTGACATGTTTTATGTCTAAAAAAGTAGTTTATCTTGTACAGCTGTGTGGCAGCATCAGAGGATTTACAGCAATATCAGAGTGTATCAAGCAAAACATATTTCACAGAATTTATGGGATTCAGGTCAAACATGATGTTTTACTTACATCTGGAATATTAAATCTGCTATTAAGAGCCAGACTGGAGCTCTGTTCCTCCTTTTTCTTCTTGTCCTCCTCTGCCTTCTTCTGCTTGTTCAGAATGAAGTTAGCTCCGTCCACATGCCTATATCTCTTCAACAATAAACATAGCCACATTTTTTTTTAAATGTCTGTTAGCTTTTAATCTGAGAATCATTTTACTTCCTGAAAAGCAGCACGGTTTTATTGGTTTACCTCGCTTTGTCCCAGCGGGCGAACAAACAAATTACAACAAACCATTTCCCTGCATTTGTTTGAATTATCTCCCATCTGCCTCTCAGTAATCTGCAGCTTCACAGCAGAAAAGGGGACACGAGTGGCAGCACAATGTTGACCTAAAATGACATTTTAGATAAAATGATATTCTGATATTTGTTTGGTCGACCCTAAAACCCCTCTTACTCCCCTCAATTTCTTTTGGTAATTAGGTTGGACTGAAATTACAGGACAGTATAACAGCATAGCCTGAGCAAAAAACCCTGTATTGTACTCTGTCATGTGTCTTTATTTATTGCATCTCTGTCCTCTTTTACAGCCTTTACCTGTTCAAACTTGGCCTGGCCCCTCAGATCCAGGACCTGTATGGAAAAGTCGATTTCACTGGTAAGGGTGTGAGCTTGAACACAAATCTGTTTTCCTCATTCTGTCCCCGTTAACCCAATTATGTCTTTTTAAATCCACAACGTTATAAATGTCAGCATGTTGCCAAAGTTAACATGAAGTTTAAGATGTGTTGAATTTGTCTGCACCCTGAAAGCAGGAGAGGAGCACGCAGCTTTGTTTTTCAGCAGGAGCTGCTGGAAATGTGAAAGTCATTAGTAATTGTGAGAGCTTTTCCTGTCAGTTGCGTTCCCGCTCAACTCCCCGTCCCAGAGCCAGATTCAGAAATCTGATTATCACACAAGAGCCAGGAACAGTCTGTCTCCACAGTCTCCCACTTCCCTAACCCAGCCCCCGTCAGCTCCCACTCCTCTCTTTTTGTTTTTTCCCCACCTCTGTCCATTGATCTGTTCCTTCTGCTCTGTCTTTCTCTCCCAGAGGAGGAGATCAACAACATGAAGAGCGAGCTGGAAAAGTATGGCATCCAGATGCCCGCCTTCAGCAAGATTGGCGGGATCCTGGCCAATGAGCTCTCTGTGGACGAAGCTGCATGTGAGAGGGGCTCAGATGTCATGGGGAGAGGGCGGGATCTGATAGCTGTGGATTATTTAGTTTAGTTGACTCGTGCTTTCATAATGAAACTGATACAAATGTCCTCTGTAGGTCAATTCAGCCATTTTTTGGATTTGTCAGTAGTTTCCCTAAGACACCCTTTCTGCCCTATCTTACTGCAGCATTTTCAAGCACAAATACATCTAACAGTTTTATTACACAGTTCCAATTATGATGAGTCAGTGTTCTCTCTGAATCAATTGAAGATCAACAAAGAAAGTCTATAATAGAGACGTTATTCATATATTTGATCTCAATGACAAAGCACAATTCGTTTACTTACAGCTAAAATGATCAGTTGTTTTTGTATTTGTGCAACTCATAAAAAAACGATTGATTTCCCAAATTTTCAAGGCAATTGCTTCACCTCTACTTCGTCTATAGACTTTTAGGTTACATTGATTAAGGGATTCAAATTAACTTTTGTTTAAAAAAGCAGTTTTATTCATTAAAATCAGGGGCACTTACCTAATTTAACTTAACAGTCAGAAGAGTGGAATCAAGTTCAAGAACTATATTAGTAACATAATACAATATTGATTAATTGACAGATATTTAATGGTATCAATAAGATAAATGAAACACAGATATGAACTCACCTTCCCTTCCATCCTCAGTACATGCTGCTGTGATCGCCATTAACGAGGCCATCGACCATGGTGTACCAGAGGGTACGGTGGCCGCTATGCAGAACCCCAACGCCATGCTGGTCAACTTGGATGCTAGCTGTGCTCGCCAGTACCACGACACACTGTACCACGCCAAGGGAGAGAAGGTGGCCAACTCACGCAAACGGGTACGAAGTATTAAACTTCAGCAACAACAGACGGTGTGTGGTGAATGCTGTGCACAGGTTTCAGATGGCCACAAAAGAATGGTGGCCTGGGGCACGTTCTCCTTGAGAGGCCATAAAAAGCCCATATAATTAAAACTGCGGTTCATTGTCCACTTTTAAATTAGAAAATAATGGAACATACAGCCTAAAGCAGAAGAACATTTTGGCATCAGACAGTAAAATGCTGAGGCCACACAACAGAAATGAAAACAACCACTACAGTAAATAATGGTGGCTGGAAGATGGACTGGCCGGTGCCAGAGAGAGGAGTAAGATCACTCCATCCTCTTGACAGATGTACCAGCAATGTCTTGCAGCGATTGATGAATGTAGGATGTGTGATGTGATTTGTGTAGTTTGTTTTGCCAATCGGAATAGCAAATAAATGACCAAAACTACCCTGAATATCAGCACAAGAGACTAAAAGTACCCTCTGGAAAGAAATATGTTTTACTTTGGTGTTCTGTCGAAGGGATGTGATGATAAGTAATGCTAAAATAAGTTTTGGTTGTTGTGCTCCAAAAGCAAATGGAGAATGCCGAGGCAGAGAGAGATGTGTACGATGAGCTTCTCACCCAGGCTGAAATCCAGGGCAACGTCAACAAGGTCAATGGTAAGTCACATGAACCCACACTCACATTTATTTACAGATTTGTTCATTTGTCTTGGTTTCCATGCTACAGCAGTGAAACGTCAACCTCTGTCCCACAGTGAGCAACGCCTTGAGTGCAGCTGAACAGGCACTGCTGAGTGGCGATGAGAATAAGCTATACGAGGCCCTTAAAGGCATGGGCATTCAAAACCTGCAGGCCCAGAACAAAGGCTGGTATCTCAAACAGATGCAGGCTGACCGAGAGACTAAAGAGCAGGTAGGGATCAGTGGGCAGACGAGGCTGTACTCTTGGGTCAAGGTTCTTGTGTGCTTCCATGTCTCCTTATTTTAACTTGATTTCTTCCTCATTAGGGGTCTCCAGGAGAAGCCCTGACTAAGGATGAGTTGCAGAGCGCCGTGGACGTGGCCAATGAGATTGCACAGGGCTACCTAAAGAGTACGCACATAACGCATACATTTAAACTAAAGTTGCCCCACAACTTCTTTGAATTCATCCGTCATTTTCTGTGTGTGTAGTGCTGAAGGCAGTGGAACGCATCAACGCTGCCATCAGGGCGGGTGTGCCAGAGAAGACGGTGGAGGAGCTGATGAACCCCGAAGCTCAGCTGCCCGAGGTCTACCCCAGTGCTGCAGACCTCTACCAGAGAGAGCTGGTCAGCCTGCAGCAGCAGAGCCTAGAGGTACAAAGAACAGCTTGTCCCCTTAAGAAGTCTACAATCCAAAAATCTAAATGTCTTCAGTATGATTTTTACAGCTTTTAACAATTGAGTGGATTAAGGAAGTTAATGTTATATATAAAGTCTTGCTGTTAAAAAGTTGTATTGATCATGACGTAACAACTACAAAACTGCCATGGAACAAATGCAGATTAGTCTTCATATTATTTGTACTATTGAACTTTGAAAAAAAATTCCACCTGTTGAAACCTGCAGAAACACACTCGCGCAAAAGGAAATACACAACCCACACTTGCACCGTTGCATTATTATTTGCAAAAAACATGTGATCCTGTGGCTTTTGAGGCTAAATTTAAAGACCAGCCGACGACAGAGAACCTCCCACCTTGTCATCAGTCCACACATCACTGCCGTCTGAGCGGTTTATACAGTTTATATTACTGCCAGTGTGCTCGGCAGTCTAACCTGCTCTGTTGAGTTTATTTTATGTTGAACTGATAACATTTTGAGACACACTGAAATAAAAATAAAAAAGAAATAGAAATAAAAAAGAAATAATTGTCAGTTGCAGCCCTGCAACACCTAAATTTTTAACCCTGTGTAACTTTTCTCTCATAACTGACGGCTTCATCACCCACACACCAGTTGCTTCAGACCCCTGTTTGATGTTCCAGTCTGGCTATAAATCAAGACACCATCAGCATATTGTTTGGCCCCTGGTAGTCTGGCACTTTGACATATGAGGTAAATTTGTGTCCTGTGTCCTGCAGGGCTCGCTGTCCCACCCCGAGCTGCTCGTTGCCGTGGAGATGCTGTCTTCGGTGGTGCTGATGAACCAGGCCTTGGATGTTGGAGACCGGGCCGCCCTCTGGAAACAGCTGTCCAGCGCCGTCACTGGACTCAGTAACGTGGAGGATGAATATGCGCAGAGGTGAGTGCCCACAGCGGGACTCAGTAACACACGCCTTAATGAGGTTTCACTGAGGCGGGCTGTTGATGTGGTACCGTACCTGTGTGTTCCTCAGGTACATGGATGAACTGATGCGTCTTAAGGCAGCGGCCAGAGAGGAGGGCTGCGACTATCTGACCTGGAACGACATCCAAGCCTGTATCGACCAAGTCAACCAGACTGTGCAGGAGGAGCATGAACGTAAGAGACACTCACATCCATTTACACATAAATACTTAATCTGTGTCCAAATTAATGAAAAGTAACACCTACACACAACCCTGCAGGAAGACGCTATATTTTGGGATTTTGTATGAATGCAGCTAAAACGTAGCTTCCTCCGGTCCACCCTCGGTCAAACAGACTCTGACACACAGACCTGCAGCCCGTCATGCATCTGTGACCTAGTCAGAGGTGGCAGAGGAGAGAGGTAGACGTAGTCAGCGGTGTAACTGGCTCGCTACGTTTTGACGGAGTCCTGACCTCAGACCTGCACGCTGCCCAAAAACAAGAAAATACAGGCAGAGGACTGCATGCTCAAAGGATTATGTAAAATATTAGCACACTAAAATACAGTAATTTGATTTATATGGTAGCCTTGATGACCCCCGCCCAAAATGAAACAGCTTCTTCACTTTGGCATAAGTAATTTGTTCAGGTTCCGAATCAACATATCAACATAAATGTCATCGTTAATTAAACCGTGACCACAGAGTTGTAACGGGTCTATTTGTATTTGCAGGTATTGCCGCCATTGGACTCATCAACGAGGCCCTGGATGAAGGGGATCCCATGAAGACCCTGGAAATGCTGCAGAACCCGTCAGCCAAGCTCACAGATGTGGACCCGTCTGTGGCTCAGCACTACCATGACAAACTGCTGGAGGCCCGCCGGGAGAAGGCTCACGTAAGACACACACACAACATACACAGCATACTGCAGCTGCTGTTGGGAGATGGATGTAGAAAATAGATGTTCAAGTTATCATCTATAGTCAAGTATGAGGTTTGGATGACTGACTTTACCCCAGCCATCGTGTGAGTATTCAGGAGAGCCTTATGCAAACACTTCAGGCAAACAGCACCTGGCTACAGTTACACCCAGACTTTTGATGGGCTTTTTACTGCAGCTCAGACAGTTGAAAGTTGTCCGCGCTGTACACAGTACGACTGGGCATATGACAGGTGTATTTTCGGTTTTAATGTGGGTGCTCTGCAGTTGCAGCTGCAGTTACTGTGTAAATGTATAAAGAGGCCAGTTTCCTGCTTAAACGAGCCGTGGGGGCCAAAAATGTGCAGCTGTTTGACGTTCAATATTTGCTCTAGTTCAGACAGTAAGTTGCTGAATAAATACTGTCCAGTAAGGGATCAATGCAGTTTTGTTGGAATTCTTGCACCTTAATTTAAATGAATGTTTTGTGAATTATGAATTAGTAATTCATACCCCCAAATTATTAGTTTTTGTGAACGTAGCACATGTAAATTCTATGCAGACTGCTGGTTATGAGTACTTTATTCCAATATGAGCAGCTGTATTTTGATAATATTGATACTGAAACAATATTATTTTTTAACATCATGAGGCTGATTTCAACTACATGTATATAACAAGGCCAGCCAGCTGTACTCTAAGCACAAAATTAATCATTAATCATCATGTCCTTTTATTTTGAAATGACCAATTGTGTAACTCGTACATTTTGAGAAGCAATTAGCCACAAGAGTGCCTCTAGTACGGACATCAGGGTGGATTAAATCACCTGAAATCCTCAAAAGCTTAAAAACCAAATACAGTAATGTCACTGTAATACCCAAATGCTGTATGGATGGATTACTGTGATGTGTGCCATAGCTCACTGGGATCACAGACCCATCGTGGTCGCAGATGGCTCCATGTGACTCAGGCCTCTGAGCACCACATGACACCACCAGACTGCTGATGTCATAGTGTGATCATCATCTCCCCCCACTCACTTCCTGTCCTATATGTCTGTATATGACCTGTCTGTCTGTGTCTCCTTGCTCTCTCTTGTCTCTCTCATTTTTATGAGGCTTGACCTATAGTTCCACCCCCGGGTTTCACATGTGCATCCCTAAGTCCAGAGACGGACGCACACTGAACAGGTCTTTCTCCAAAGTGGTTCATCAGCACTCTGCTGTCTCTGACTCATTTGCCTGCGATATTGTTACTTGAGTGAAGCGGGCAAATGAATGTGCCTCTTGTATGTGTGTGTCTGTGCAGCACATTTGCATGTGATATTACAGGAAGCCTAACACATTTGGGTTGTTTTCCTGAAGCAAAGGTTAAGTGGTGAGGTTAGACTGTAGGAGCTGGGTAGGTTTCTACCACAGTGCACGGAGGAGGAGGTGAACAACACCTATTGAGCATAAAGTGGAAGTTCCTATTAATCAAACCTTGAGTTAAATGCTTGCTCCTGTTTTCTTTAGAACGAGGTCTGTAAATAGAACAGTTCTCAGTGCATCCGTTTTAGTACAGAGTGCTGTTTTTATGCTATGTACATACAGATAAAGGAAGTGTCTTATCAAGGTTGGACAATACTTGGCCACTGCCCACACACTGTTTCAAATGTCAACAGGCATCTAAACGCTTGAATACATCATGTGGGAACTCTTTTATAACGGGACCTGGAAAAAAATTAGAAGCAGGAGAAAAAAAAGCTAAACTATTTTCCTGCTGATTTCACAGGCATAGGAAATAACAAGCCAGGCCTCAGTCATTCGCTTCCATAAAAGGGCAGAAAGCTGACCACTTTATTAAATGGGCCAGACCCATGGGCACACACCGTCCTCTGGCTGTTGATTGGTGAATGTGGCTGTTTGTGTTGATGAGCTAATGACGGAGGAAGTTGTTAGAGCAGTGTGGGCTTCGTGCTGGAAGGGTCAGTGCCAGTGAGATAATCCCCTACTGAGAGGGAAGAATCAGAATGCCCCTGGCAGCTTAGAGGAGGCAGAGGAGGTGGCTAAGATCATAGGATGGGTGTTTCCAGGTGATCTGAGGTCAGAGGAGAAGGAACAACAATGCTTGTTTTTTCCGCCTGAGGTTCAATTTGTGACTGCTTCTTGGTGTCGCCTCATTAACTCTGCAGTATTAGAACAGTTAGTCAGCAAGACAGTCTGGCAGAAGTTGTCTTTGACTGTGGGCTGAGGGCTGTGCCTAGATAAACAGCAGGAAGTCCTGCCCAGACTCTACTGACTAACAAGCTGAATATAGTCCAGTGGAGTCTGCCTCTTCAGATGACTATCACTTCACTTTGTAAGTGCAACAATCACAACTGGGACTTTATAAGTTTCAGTCGTGCACTTTGTTCTGTGTGTATTTTCAAGCTTCCCACACTTCTGTGCCTAAAGACATTGGGTGAGCTCATAGTTTCTAAGGAAGTAAAAAAAAAAAAGGTGTTGTGCAGAAGAAAAGTTTAGAAAGCTGAATTCTAAATTTCCCAACCCCCTCAGCTTTCACTTCCTCTATTTCCATGATGTGCTTCTAACGTGTGATGAACTATAAAGCTACGCCAAAGTCCTCCTCTTGCCCACTCTGGCACCACACCCTGTCTAGCGCCTCCTGCCAGCTGCGGTGACTCATCACATACAAATACCAATTAGAGCGCCAAGTGCAAACACACAAACACTAATCAGCGCTCACCCAGGTGCGGCTTTGTTTACTATAAAGATGGAGCTCATTTGACTCCCGCTTCTCTGTATGCATGCTGTTGCAGATGTTGGCTGCCCCCCCCCCCTTGCATAAGAAATCTTCAAGATCAGGTATCAGTCTTACCCGCCCAACTCTTTCACACACACACCTCCTCTCATCTGCCCTAAAGCACAACATAAAGGGGCGGGGCACATGGAGGGGGAGGCCCAGACCAAATGAGTTGTCTGTTTTACCCAGACTCTAGAAAGCAACTGCAAGTAGCAACCAGCTGCAACACACTTCATACAGAGACAGAGTGCGCCATCTGGATGCAGTTAGGTACAACTACAGCTCATGATGATATGGTGTTGAATTCAGTGTTGAGGTTTTAGTGTGGCCTGTATGGTTAGCAAATGGAATCAAGTGACAAAAAGGAAAAATCTACACTTAACACTGTTTTAAAAAAAAAAAAACATATGTTGTCACATTTCTAGCATTTTTATGTCTGTGGCATTCTTCTGTTCTTTTGGATGACTGGCCGAATTCAATTTAATTCATCTTTATTTAATCAGGCAGTCTCATTGTGATTAAAGGGAGAGCCAAGAATGGGAAACATTCACAAAAACACAACCCACATGCAGAAACAACATGAGGAATTGATTAAAAAACAGTCGCAAGAATCACAAAAAACATCAGATAGTAAAGCTTTAAAATCTCCCATGGAAATGCAGCACTCAGGTTTGAGGGCACTTAAAAGGTCCATAGTACCTGAAACAAACATTAGTGCGAACATGAGGGAGGACTAATGTAGTTACTTGATCATGTACTGTAGTTAGATTTAAATGAGAGTAGAGATGACATGGCCTTATCCGTCTAACCCTTTAAATACAGAGAGCATAATCTCCCTAGTCAAGGACAGACATAAAGGTTGACTGCACAATGGTTTTACAATAGGAGGAAGACAGACATCCTTTAATGTAATTTAATAACCCAGTTTGAGTTTTTAATTTTTGAGTCAACTGTTGAATATGAATCTTGAATGATAGTGATAATGATAGCTGTCAAGCCAAATTCCATGTCTGTGTATTTCCTGCAGCTACAACACAGTTCACTGCTTAAAATATGTCAGCGATGTGCCAGTCCCTCCTAATCAGAGAGCTTCTCAATCACAAATGTAGAGAGAGATAGCAACAACAGTACACGCAGTTAACACACTTTAATGATAAAGTCCAGGAATTAATTGTTCTGACAAAGTCTAATGTGTTGTATTTTTATATATTGGACCCTTAGACCAAAACAAAGCAGTCATTATATAGTATAGGACTGCGGGTTATAAGAACTGGCAGGGAGAATTTGTTAAACCCACTCCTGTTGATTTTTTAAAATAGAATTAAAATGAGTCATCATGAGAGAAAAGCTTCATGCCAGGATAATGGGCGTATTTGTTATTTAATTCACCATATTCCCAAGTGCAAAAAGGCTGCTAATGAACCAATTATCTCAGCCTTCTTGTGCTGCTCATGCTGAATATTTGGCTATGTCTTTCTAAGCCAGCAGCAGGGAGAGTAAATGCCCGTCTTCATTCTGATGAAGGTGGGTGGACTGTGAAGACACCACGGACAAGGATAGAAATAAGTCCATGACTATGTTGTTCTATCCAAACAAAGTCTGATATGTTACATTTTATGAATATATTATAATGTTTGTAAGAAAACAAAACAAGACATTGCTCGCATCAACCGCAGGCTTAAAGACAAGCATATACATTTTCACACAGATGGAGATGTATCTCCTGAGAAAGAATGAATTTGATAGATTTGTTAGAAGGACATTTGAACTTGTATTTTACTCTAGTAGTTTTTAGCGGTCACAAATCATGCTTGTAGGAGTCCGCCCCTTAAATATCAGATTTTGAATGAGCACAGAGAAACTTTCCACTTTCAGCAGATAAATCTGAAAATATCCTTCTACTGTCAAACTCTGCACATGCATCATTCTGCACAGTGAAGTTAAAGCTCTCGCATTTGGAGGAGAAAAAATAAACTGGCAGATGGTGTGTGTGTGTGTGTGTGTGTGTGTGTGTGTGTGTGTGTGTGTGTGTGTGTGTGTGTGTGTGTGTGTGTGTGTGTGTGTGTGTGTTTTGTGTTTTTTGTGTGTTTGATTGTGTTTGCTGTGCACTGTTAGTTTAGTAACATATTTCCCTGTGTCCTTCCAGGAGACCCAAGACCCGTCAGCTGTGCTGTGGCTGGATGAAATCCAGGATGCCATTCTGAAGGCTAACCAGGACACACAGGAGGCCCTACAGTGTAAGAGCACACTCATTTCATTTTACTGGACCCATTTTATATATAAAGTTGCAGAATGTTTACTAACCGCCCCTCTACCGGTGTCCCTGTAGTGAAGAGCACCAATGGCTGATTTGTTTGTGTTTGTGTCCGCAGTCTCGCAGTCCATCCAGGCTATCAATGAGGCCGTGGACAGCGCTGATCCAGCTCAGACCTTGGCTGCTCTGCGTAACCCCGGGGCAGGACTGTATGGTGTCACCTCTGAGTGTGCACAGACCTACCAGGATGACCTGGCCAAGATCAAGGACAAGAAAAAGGCAGAAGGTGTGGAAAACGTTTTATGGATGAATAAGGGGAAGGACGAATGTATTTGTCACTACTTGGTAGCTTGGTACTGTAATGCCATCAGAAAGGTGACATTTGCTGTCGATAATGTGCAATTCTGATGAAACTGAGAGGACTGATGCATCTCTTCAGTGGGTTCTAGTAGTAAAGTCACACTACCTGACTTGATGAGACTAAGATGCTCTGCTTAAAAAACGTTTTGAGTTTTATTGTCATGTGAAAATAAAAACTTAAAATCATCCAATTTGTAATTAAAACTCACATTCACTACGAAGGGCTTCACCTTCTGCACTGCATCACTGAAATAAATGTAAAATGGAGGCACGATGCTTCTTTCTAATTACTGGCCCAGATTGTGCCTCCATCGTGTTCACTTGCATTCTGGTCTCTGTCCAGGCGATAACGGCAGTGAGTGGGTGAAACACTGGGTGAAAGGAGGACACAACTACTACTACAATCTGAATACCAATGAGGGCACCTGGGTGGAGCCCGAGGGCTTCCTACAGAACAACTCCCAGCTTAACAAGGAGGACATCCAGGTAGGTAACCGTCCCTGCGCAGCACTGCACGGCCGTAGCTTTTTCAACACCGCATTAAACTGGTTTTATTCTCCCTGTCAGTCGGTGGTGTCCGGGGTAACCACAGCCTACAATCGAGAACAGCTGTGGCTGGCCAATGAGACTCTAATTGCCAAGCTGCAAGCTCGTTGCCGTGGCTACCTGGTGAGAAATGGCCTAAAGGAGCGGATGAACTTCCTGAAATCCCAAGATCCAGCTGTTACATGCATACAGGTGAGACAGACATACATACAACAATCATCCTGAGTTTATACATAGAAACCCGTCTGCTATCAGGACTTATTATTATACTGATTCTCTTATCTTTATCTTATCTTTTTTTTTCTTCTCAGGCCCACTGGAAAGGCCACAAACAGAGGAAGGCGTTCAGAGATCGTAAGCAGTATCTGAAAGACCACACTGATGAGGCCATTAAGGTAAAATTATAATGCAATGTCTGTAATCTCAATCTTATTATCAGTAGTTTAAATGCAGTTAAGACTAAGGGACTTGTTTTTTGTCTCTCTCAGATCCAGTCCATGGTTCGGATGCACCAAGCTCGTAAGAAGTATAAGGATCGCCTAAAGTACTTCCAAGATCACGTGAGTATTAGTAGCCTACAACCTTGTTACATAAATTATCTGTAAATTGAGTTTTGGACAAAATAAAAGAACCACGGTCAGACATTGTAAATATTCTGTCAAAAAAAATCAGGGTTTAAAGTAAACAAATTGCACCGTTATCTAATAAAAGCTTTAAATCACTGTGTATAAATTTCCCCTGACACATCCGCTGACATTTACTCCGTGCCCTCTGGGGTTTGAGGGAGGCTCATTTAGCACCCTGACGTGTGTTGAGTCATTCCCACTCACTGACTCACAGTGGATTCCTGTGGTAGCCTTTCATAATGAAAACTATTGATCAGCAAAGTGATTACTGTTTTGTTCCGCAGATCAATGACGTGGTGAAGATTCAGGCTTTCATTAGAGCCAACAAGGCAAGAGACGATTACAAGACGCTGAGTGAGTAGAATCCCGACAAGTGCTATTAAACAGAATTGGTCTTCGGTTTTGGCAGTTGCTTGACTCTCACAATGTCCTTCCTCATCATCAACAGTCAACGCTGATGATCCCCCGATGGCGGTGGTGAGGAAGTTCGTCCACCTGCTGGACCACAGCGACCAGGACTTCCAGGAGGAGTTGGAACTGATGCGGCTCCGCGAGGAGGTGGTCACCAACATCCGCTCCAACCAGCAGCTGGAGAACGACCTGAACCTGATGGACATCAAGATTGGCCTGCTGGTGAAGAACAAGATCACGCTGCAAGAGGTGGTGTCCCACAGCAAGAAGCTGACCAAGAAGAACAAGGGCCAGCTGTCCGACATGATGATGATGAACAAGCAGAGGGGAGGCCTGAAGGCCCTCAGCAAGGAGAAGAGGATCAAACTGGAGGCCTACCAGTACCTCTTTTACCTGTTACAGGTAACCTCACAATACATCTCTGTTTCTTTGATTGCTTTGTCTTTGTTTCATGTAAAACAAGTCATATATACTGTGGATGCGGAACAACAAGTTGAAGACACTGGCAGGGGTCTCACCAGTCGATACTGTAATAATATTTAACCAAATTTCTGCTTCCTTTCAGACCAACCCCACGTATCTCGCCAAGCTGATCTTCCAGATGCCGCAGAATAAATCCACAAAGTTCATGGACTCTGTAATCTTCACCCTGTATAACTACGCCTCCAACCAGAGAGAGGAGTACCTGCTGCTCAAGCTCTTCAAAACTGCCCTGCAGGAGGAGATCAAGTAAGAGACAGACACTGAAACCCTTATTTGTCTTAAAAATATGTTAAGTCTTAAATTGAACCCGTTGGAACCTGCAGAAACCCTGTATATGTTTTAAATCAGTTGAGGCCTGGTTCATGAATTCATCAAATGTTGCCTTTAAACCGTCTGCAGGTCAAAAGTGGACCAGATGAAGGAGATCATCACAGGAAACCCTACAGTCATCAAGATGGTGGTGAGTTTCCACCGAGGGGCGCGGGGACAGAACGCACTGCGGCAGATCCTGGCACCAGTCGTCAAGGAGATCATGGATGACAAAGCGCTAAACATCAAGACTGACCCGGTGGACATCTACAAGAGCTGGGTCAACCAGATGGAGACGCAGACTGGAGAGGCCAGGTGAGCTGGAGATTGATTTCACTTAAAAGCCAATTTACGAAGCTCAGCACTGATCTGAGGAGTTTCAAAGTCTATAAATTCGTATGGGGGGTCTTTATTTTGCAGATTGTTACAGAATATTGAACTTGTTTGTTGGAGGGTTTTTTGCAGTGATGTCAGCATGGCTACAGTACAGCACACTAGTAAAACAAAAAAAGTTTCAGAGGTTATGATCAGCTGATTCATCTCTTTCTGCTCCTGCCTGTCCTCAACAGTAAGCTGCCTTATGACGTGACTCCAGAGCAGGCTATGGCCCACGAGGAGGTGAGGACCAGACTGGAAGCCTCCATCAAGAACATGAAGACCATCACCGACAAATTCCTGTCTGCCATAATCGTCTCGGTGGATAAAATTCCGTACGTTCCTCGCTTACAGGATCGCTGCCTGCATGGATGACATTTTTACAATCAGCTGGTTACATTTACTGTTTTTCCCTCTGCCTAATCTCGTCTGTCTCACGCTGTCTTGTCAGATACGGGATGCGTTTCATCTCAAAGGTGCTGAAGGACACCCTCCATGAGAAGTTCCCAGATGCTACGGAGGATGAGATGCTCAAGGTTTGCATCTTAATGTTGGTCCCTTGTGTGCTGCATGGTCTTTAAATGGTCAGTTTACCACAGTGGGACAATACGGATAATTTCCGTTTGATGTGACAAATGAGTCGAATGGAATTTGATTTGTGGCACATGAGACGTCGATTTGTCAGCCACAACCTCAATCACCATACTGTGATATACAATTCTGTTGAAAACTGGGTGAACTGACCCTTTAATCGTGGTGAGTTGGACAACCATAGCTCATCTTCTCCTCTACCAAAGTGGTTTCTTTCTTCTCATCTTCTGCCTGGCTCTCCCTTCCATGTTTCTTACACTTTTTTTTTTCCTTTTCTGCTGCGACTCTTTCCACTTTGCCAACCAGCTGTAAGCCTCTCTGTCGGGGTGGAGGTGTCCTTCTTCTCCCTGTCTACTGACTTTAAGGTGATCCGTGCCACTCTTCTGGCTCCTCCTCTTCCTGCACAAGCTGTGTCCTGACACATTCAAGAGCTTTTCCTCGTTTTGCAGTGGCGCCTACTAAACCCCTTAAATCTCAACTCAAGATGCCAACAAAGATTTAATTTTGCTCTTTTTTGCATGATAACAAATGCACAGGATCCTGATGTTTTTTTTTTCTTTTTTTCAGATTATCATGCACTACTGTCAGCATATTTAGTTATAGCTATTTTAAAAAAACTTAAAGTTACCTACTGCAGCTTTAAGTTAAATAAAATTATTTGTCGGTTAATGTGTACTACTTATATTTTCTGTTTGTTGATTTAATTCAGTACTGCAAATATTAGTATTTCTGTTGATGGCTGTATTACACTGTATTATTTAAGAGCTTTTATATGCTAATGTGACTTATGGTAATATTTTCATCCTAAAAAAGACTCATAAAGAAAATTATTATCATAATTGTAACTAACTGAGTCATTTGATTTTGACGTTTCAGATCATAGGGAACCTCTTGTATTACCGCTACATGAACCCGGCTATCGTGGCACCCGACGCCTTTGACATCATTGAGGTGTCGGCGGGGGGCCAGCTGACCACTGAGCAGCGACGAAACCTGGGCTCTGTCGCCAAGATGCTGCAGCACGCAGCCTCCAATAAGATGTTTCTGGGAGACAACGCCCATCTCAATCCCATCAATGAATATCTCAGCGCCTCCTATCAGAAGTTCAGGTGTGAAGTTAATCCTTACAGAAATCTGAAGCAGATGTGTTTTTACAGGGGTTGTGGAAGTTTTTGTAAAAGGAGCATTCAGTTACTTTTTTTTGGCTCGTCTGACTTTATCCTTCCGTCTTCCATCACAGGCGATTCTTCCTGTCAGCGTGTGACGTTCCCTCTCTTGAGGATAAGTTCAATGTGGATCAGTACTCTGACTTGGTCACCGTCACCAAACCTGTCATCTACATCTCCATCGGAGAGATTATCAACACTCACACAGTGAGTTTGCACCGCCTCACATTTGCTATTTCTGAGGAGAAAGCTGAAGAGCCAAATATGTATTCATGTTTTTTGTAGTTTTGTCTTCTATAGTATGACTAACATACTGACCGGGTACTTCTTTCCTGTTAGCTGCTGCTGGACCATCAGGACGCCATTGCTCCAGAGCACAATGACCCCATCCATGAGCTGCTCGAGGACCTGGGCGAGGTTCCCACCGTAGAGTCCCTCATCGGTGAGTGGAGTGAAGCGGGGAAGCCTTTTTTTCTCAGCGTGGTTGTAAAAATGAGTGACAGCAGGGCGCCCGGATAGCTCAGTGGGTAGAGCTGGTGACCCATGTACCGAGGCTGAGTCCTTGCTGCAGCGACCCAGGGTTTGAATCCGATTGCGGCCCTTTGCTGCATGTCATCCCCTCTCTCTGACCCCCTTAACTATCTATCTTCAGCTGTCACTATAATAAAGGCAATAAAAGCCCAAAAAATATACTCAAAAAAAAGAAAGAAAAAAAATGAGCTACAGCAGCTATTAACAAACCACTCAGTATATTATCATACAATCCTTTTGTGTTCATCTTCGTCATTCAGGTGAAAATCCTCTTCCTCCCGACGACCCCAACAAAGAACTGATGGGGAAGACCGAGGTTTCTCTCACACTCACTAACAAATTTGATGTCCCTGGTGAGGCCAACGTTGAGATGGACGCCAAGACTCTCCTGCTCAAGTAAGTTCATACCGTACATTCAAGGCTAACTAAATTACGATTGTGTCAGAAAATTCAACGTTTTCTTAAATGTCTTTTTTTTTGTTTCTTTTCAGCACCAAGAGGCTCATTGTGGATGTGATCAGGTTCCAGCCTGGGGAGACTCTGACTGAGATCCTGGACTCAACAGCAGGCACAGAACAGGTCAGAATTAGGGCCAACTACAGTACACTGCTAACATTGTGGACTCGCAGTGTAATAGAACATGTGTTTATGCACAGAGCATCAGTCATTTGAAGTCATACTGTATACAAACCGGACCCTCACCACAAGAAGGTCAGCCAGTAGCTTTGTCTACACTGCAGCTTTCATGTGGGTAGAAATCTGCTAGATTGCTTTATGGCACAAAACAGGAAGAAGGTGTTCTACTTCCTTTCAAAGAGGCTTAAAAGCAACATCCTCTTTCGCACAGAAGGGGCTGTGTTTATGCGAAATAATGATACCATTAATCATATTTTTAAAAGCAAATTACTTTAACACGCAGCAAGACTTACGTTGTTGCTAACAGAAGTGTGAAATTAAATTGCCTTTATTTAAAATATATATGGTTTACAGCTCTTTCTATAGAAATATGTTTAACTGAAACAATAATAATAATTATGCATCTTGTTTCCTGGGTTGACAGGAAGCAGAGTACCAGCGTGCCATGCAGAGGAGGGCCATCAGAGACGCCAAGACTCCAGAGAAGATGAAGCAGGTCAAACCGGTGGTGGACGACAGTCTGACGCTGCAGGGCAAGAAGGACAAGATCAGGAGCAACCTGCAGAGGCTGGCAGAGCTGGGGAAGGTCCACCCCGAGAACCGCTATCAGGACCTCATCAACGACATCGCCAAGGTAAAAATCAGACCGATTATCTCCGGAAGGGACCGTTAAAACAACAGTCTCCTCAGTGTTTTATTGACAGGTAATGTGTTCGTTTGTTACAGGACATCAGAAATCAGCGACGGTACCGTCAGCGTCGAAAAGCCGAGCTGGTGAGGCTTCAGCAGACCAACACCGCACTCAATTCAAAGACCACCTTTTTCAATGTTCAGATTGATTCTTACAACCAGTATATCAAGACGTGCATGGACAACCTGGCCAGCAAGGGCAAGTGAGTGGCCTTTCATTTTATAACATGTTCAAATGTTTAACCTATATCAGATTTTCTTCATTTTTGGCTGCATGTTAAGGTCTACCTTTTAAAGGTGCGTACGCAACAAAAGCCTTACCTTAGCAAAGTTACACCGCCATCTGTACGGTGCTCATACAGACAGGAATTATATTTCAAGCTGGAGGGCTAGCGGGCGTTGGGGCAAGTGTTTACGTCCCATGTAGGGCCAAGAGGTGTGCCTGGGTAGTGGAGACCTCAAAAAGAGAATAAAATGGACAGACTGCACATGTAGATGTCTGACTCATATCAGACTTATTCCCAGTATGAAAGCATTCTGTGTCTTCTCCCTTTTCACTTGCTCGAAGCACATTTCTGAATTGTGCCACAGAATCAAGAGTGGGTCACTTGTAACAGGCATTGGGTCACAGTGTTGATACTCAGACTCCTGCTGGTCTTGATTTGGGGCTTCTAATCAGGGGCTGTTTTACTCCTGGAGTGCAAAATGCAATTAAGCACAGCTGCTGCCTGCTTAGACAGAAAACCAGTACTGTGGGTACCAAGGACCAGGATCCAAACCTCCAGAGTTGAGGTCCATTCCCCCTTTTATGTGAAGTGTTTGTTAGTCGTCATCAAATTACGTAAATGTGAAACAGATTGACATCAAGTTGACAGTATATTTATCAGAAAGCCACTGCGCAGACAGGAAAGATAAATAGACAAATATCAGATGAAGCCCAGAATAAATGGTTTGTTAATTTACTTACTGTCAGATACAGTCACAATCTTGAAAACCTCTGTCCTCTGGGCCCAGTATTTCAAAACCTCTAATCTAGATCACAATTATGTTGTCTGTATCTTGCCCTTTTTAGCTATCCAAGATAAAAACTAATCTTGTAGGTTTTGTACTGGTTTTTCAGATAGGATCATTGTGATCCAGATAGCACAAGCTCAGGATTACACAATCTAGATTGGCAGGCTTTGAATAGGCCTCCAACTGTTACTGTCAAAGTAATACATACAATACAAACACATGGACTCGCAGTCATATAGACCCAGTCTCAGTAAACATACGCACCAACTCCTCCTCATGCTTGTTGTGTTGATAAATTGACAAAGACTAAAACTAAAGACATTTCCTGTATCTGTTTTTTTTATTTGAGTTAGTTGTGTAAGTAAACAATATAATTTCAGCTATTTTTCTTTTTTTTTTCTAAAGTCTAGTTTTTATTTAATTTATTCTGTTAACTAAAATGTTTTAGTTTTTAGTTTAGTTTTACTTAACTATAATAACCCTGGATCTCTACATCCACGTTTAATCCCCCCTCCCTGTGGGATCGGGATCATCCTGATTTTTAGCATCAAAACTGTCCTAATGTCCACCTTAGAGTTTTGAAATACCCAAAACCAACATTTGATACTGATTCTGGGTAGGATTGGATTACCAAATCTGTATCCTAGTTTTGTAGTAACAGGATTACATCTCCTCCTATTTTGACTATTCTGAAATCAAATTTAGAGATTTAATCCTATCCGTAGACTGATCTAGGTAAGAGGTTCTGATGATGATGTTGATAAATAAGAATGAATCTCCTCCTCCAGCATGGTGAATATTCACTCTTAACACCACATAGAAGTATCTCTAAGAATATTGTGAGATGCTGAATAGGTCTGAAATAGTGAGCCATTAATACTGTGCGCTCAGAGATTGTATTATGTTATACTGTACACGTGTCTTCCTCTCTCCTCTCAGGTTCTCACAGAAACCAGGCAACAACAAGACGAAGAAGAGTAAACAGGTTTCACAGAAATACACCGCCTCTCGCCTCCATGAGAAGGGCGTGCTGATTGCAATAGAGGACCTGCAGCCCAACCAGTGAGTTTTGAAATCTTTAACATTTAACTAAACCCCTAAACTCTGCTAGCTCCCTCCGTCCCTGCCATATAGAGGAGTGTGTGGCACAGGAGGTAACACCGACCTTAGCTAACCAGCCACAAGCAGCTGCTGTCAGCTACTGGAAGCACAGAGTCCGCTGGAGCTTTGACAGTCACTAGAAGCACATTCACAGCCATTAAAAGTCTGTGTGTGGTACCTGTGATGTAACGTTAACTGTGGTGTCTGCGCTGGAGTGTCAGGCCACAACCTGGTGAGGAAAGCTGCCAACATGTACGTCACCTGCCGCCAGCCGCGAGCAAAATTCAATTACAATAGCCCAGTTTTGACCAGGAGAGGGCGGTTGCTATGCATATTTATAGCACAATATGTAATTCAAATACTATAATTTCAAGATTTGGACCTGAATTGATCAGTAACACTTTTAAATACCCATGTGTGCTGCTTTTCAGTTACTGTTTAATACAAAACCAAGGTTAAAAATTCCAGTATTCAGTATTATTAGTAGTTCTCACTTATGTTATGTTTTTGAGGCAATAATACTGTGAATGCCTCAGATTTCTAAATTTTTTAATTTCTGTTTTCTAAGCTAGCCACTGTAGTGAAAGTTGTTGATTGGTTGCCTGTAATGCTTTTTCTGCTACGTTAAATATCAAAACATGACCCACAGGACTTCATCTCAAACTTGTGTTGTTGTCATTTGTGAAAAAGGTTACATTGTGTCAGCAGTGTTAGAGGAATTCTTGATAGTTTAAGAGCCATCGGGTTTTCATTAATTAATCAGTTTGTCGTTGTTTACTCTTCTCTCCTCACAGGTTCAAGAATGTTATTTTTGAGATTTCTCCATCAGTGGCTGTCGGCGTTTTTGATGTGAAGGCCAAGTTAATGGGCGTGCACTTGGAGACGTTACAGTTAGAATATCAGGTATTATTTCTTTTGTTTCCCGGCAGATAGTGAACACTGGCACACATTTAAGATACAGTTGGATGTGATTGATTTAATGATCTTTTCTCTGTTTGTGTCTCAGGATCTCCTCCAGCTGCAGTATGAAGGCGTGGCGGTGATGAAGCTCTTCGATAGGGCCACCATCAATGTCAACCTGCTCATTTTCCTGCTCAACAAGAAATTCTATGGGAAATAGAAAAAGAGAAAAGGATAAAAGGGCTACAGACACTGATTTAAACCACAACATCCTCTTTGAGGGTTGCAGAAAGCCCTGACCTGAACCACCCTGGCTTTCCTACACATTCCCTACTGCACTTCTCTCATGTGCCTATGCAAATTTATGTGCATTATTTGTTTTAATTATGTTGATCACAATATGTGCTTTATTCTTAATGGAACGACTCGAGCCGGCACACCAAAGAAGCTCGCTGGAGCCTTAATATCTTTATTGTCTGTAACTGCAGCAAGGTCAGAGGTTTAAGATTTGTATGTTTTGCTTTAAATATTATGATCTTGTGCATGGGCTTTGATTAATTATAAAATGTATGTTTTATGTGAAGAGATCATGTTTTGTGTCTTTCTTAGCCAGCGTACTTTTCAGCAGGGCTGTAGTGTATGAGACGACTCTTGTCTCCTCTGGACTATTTCTGTGTTGGACTTTGTGTTGCTGCTTAGTATTGGAGAGAAAAACTTACGTTTGAAAACACCGTTAAAGGACCAGTGTGTAAGATTTAGAGACATCTAGCGGAAATTCAAAAGGCCCTATCTAGAGCCAGTGATTGGTTTGTCCGTTCTGGGCTACTGTAGAAACATGGCGGACTCAGTAAAAGTGATTCTTATTTTTAGGACTTTATATACTAATGAAAACATCTATGAATATTATATTCCATTTCTGCCAATAGATCCTCTTGAATGTTACATACTGGACCTTTTTAAGGGATTTTTCACACATTTTGATTTGAATAGGATTCGGCTCTCTTTGGATTTGACCCACCTCAACCCACACTCAAATACTCTGATATCTATGCCAAGGGAACGTGGCATCACACTTGGTTTTAGACACGAATTGCAAAAAAACAAAACTGCCATGCTCATATTGAGCTGTTGAACTCAAAACTTGATTTTTTTAAATATATAAATAACTTTAGAATCGATGACAAATTCATATTCACCACTCACATCCAGTCTGCAGGCTGTAATGTGGCTCCATAGTCTTTCCTATCTTTCTCAATAAGTCTGGATTGGACTGAGCTGGCCATGACTACAGCCCTGGTGCTTTGAACTGACCTGCAGCTCACTTCTGCTTGTGGCTCTGACGTTCAGGGGAGACATGGCACTCCTGCCAGCACACACAGCTGTGCAGATGTGCTTATTCACTGGCTTTCTAAGATGGTTTACTGGAAAGGATGTTTCTTTTATATTCCTCATGGGCTGTTTATCTTGTATAACTGAAACACAGATTATTGTTACATTACAAAATCAGTTTAGTAAACACAACATCATGTCTTGTTTATCTGTAAAAGACAGGACGAGATCTAGGAGTGTGAGCTGGACGTTGAATACAGAGATTTTTATGATGTCTTATTGAAAATAGTTTGACAAAGTTGCCCTTATTTATATTTTATATGTTGTCAGTCCACATTATACTGTAGTTGATGTTTGCGAAACCTAAGAGAGATCATGTAAGCGAGCCTGAGGATGTGCAGTATTACAGTAACTAGACTTGTGGGTCCAGTAGATGTCACTCTACACCATCCAATTGTTTTTATTGTGTAAGAGATTTACTTATTACAAGACGCCTTCAGTTGAGATTCCATGCAGACCTTATTGAACTAGAGGTTGAGTTTCTGTCTCATGTAAAGTTGCCATGATCAGAGGTTAACACTGTTATTTGAAACAAGTGAGGCCGTGCTCTCTGTACATTATTTTCTCTTTCACAGTCCATTAAATGTATTTTACCTGTTATAGAATAAAGATCTACAGAGGCAGTTTGTTACATTGACTCAAGTACTTTTGAGGAACTTATACTTTTACTCCACCACATTTCAGAGGGAAATATTGTACTTTTACTGAGTACATGTATTTTTACATACAAAACATAACAAAAATAAAATAAAATGCATGGTTAAACATTGAACTACCCAACAGTAGTTTAAATCAACTCCCTCTTGACCAACTCATTAAAAATCTGCTCACATATTAATGATCAAATATAATAAATAAATATATATATAAATACAAAATATAACATGCACAGGAGGCATACTGCTACATAATAGATACTTTTAATTTTGATAGTTTAACTATTTTGCTGGTAATTAATTTTATAATATATAAATGTATGTAAATAATTATGTATATAAATATAATTATTTTATACATTGTAGTATTGCTACTTTTATACTTAAAGATCCCCTCCAGACATGTATTAAGACACATATACAAATAGTTTGCTTTGAACAATAAAATATGTCAGACAATTTCCACATTAAAATCATTAAAAAGGGTATCTACTCCTTGTACCTCATTAAAGATTCCACAATCTATAAATGTTCAAATTCTGTTAAATATTTAAAGTTTTCCTGCAGGACACAAGATGTCTTCAGTGTAAAGTCCATTCTCAGTGTCTGTGCACTGGTGGATCTCCCTGTATAAGCTGCATACTGAACCAGGGTTGACTTCCTCACTATTTGTGATGTCACAAATCATGCTTGTAGGCCCCGCCTCCTAAAATCTGATTTTCAGGGAGCTCAGAGAAACTTTCAGCAGATTAATTTGAAAACTTAAAGAGTCAAACTGTGCACACAGTGAAGCTCAAACATCCAACTGTAGGAACAAGAAGAAAAAACAAATTTTTGAGTAAGTAAAGGGTCTGAATACAAGAGTACATGAGTGGGTTCTTATAATGTCTAAAATAAATAAGGATATTTTACTTTATTGACGCAAAAGTGGGTAAACCCACTTTGACTTGACTTCCTCCACTGAAGAGGAAGACCACATTAGAGCTGGCGGGGTCTCCATATGTCAGATCCAGCATTTTATCTGAACCCAGACCATCTATTGAAATGATTAATTGCTGCGTCCGCCTCCTGGTATTAACTTCCCAGAGATATTGATAATAACAGTCATTAGTAATCCCATGGAGAGGCAGCAGGATAATCACTGTCTGGTCTGGATTTACCACCAAACAGGACAGGAACAGACTACGACGGACAGTCAGGACTGCAGAGAGGATCGTTGGTGCCAACCTGCCGTCCATTCAGGACCCATACTGGTCCAGAGTCAGGAAACGGGGGGCAGGAAACATCACTGCAGATCCATCACACCCTGGACACAACCTGTTCCAACTCCTCCCCTCTGGTAGGCGCTGTACGCCAAAACAAACAGGCACAGGAACAGTTTCTACCCACAAACCATCACTCTGACCAACAGTTAACTCCAGACTCTCAGTGTCAGTCCCTGTACAATAACCCCGGGACTCTAACATTCACTGTACCTGTGATTTACTATTTCTTTTTTTAAATTGTTGAAATAATTGTTTGTCTTTGTAAAACATAAATCCAATCATTCAAACACATCTAACCATACTGTTTATGGTGTATACACTGTCATATTAACCTAGCTCGTGTACATAAAAATCCGTAAATATTTACTGTTCTTCTGATCTGCAGCTGGCCTCATCAACAACCCCCGAGACCCCCACTGACACTGAGTCTTAGACCCTCCTCCCACCCTGAATCTACATGTTTCATTAATGCACTTTTCTCTAATTTTTTCTACGTATATATTTTATTTAGTTGTTTTATATACGTCTCACTGCTAACTTGCATTTATTGTGCACATTTCACTACAGCTTTTAACTTGTTTATATTCTCTTTTTATACTTATATATACTGGCTTACATTTGTTTGTTTGTACAAATTCCTTGTATGTGAAAACCTACTTGGCAATAAACCTGATTCTGTCTCCAAATCTTATTGTTTTTCTTTGTTTATATATGTATATATGATAGTTTATGTATATTTTTTATTCTGTGCATGTACACTGAGAGCAACGTAAAACCGAGATCCCTTGTATAGTCAGCTTTTTTTCATCTTTATTATATATCTATCATTATATGTCATGTTTTTGTACCTATATATACTGGCTCAATTTACTGGCTCTACTAGTATCTTTATTTATATTTTTTTTATGTTTACTGTTACGCACCAACATAGGCAAATTCCTCGTATGTGAAAACTTACTTGGCAATAAACCTGATTCTGTCTCCAAATCTTATTGTTTTTCTTTGTTTATATATGTATATATGATAGTTTATGTATATTTTTTAGAGCTTGCTATCCTGTTTATTTATGTCTATTCTGTGCATGTACACTGAGAGCAACGTAAAACCGAGATCCCTTGTATAGTCAGCTTTTTTTCATCTTTATTATATATCTATCATTATATGTCATGTTTTTATACCTATATATACTGGCTCAATTTACTGGCTCTACTAGTATCTTTATTTATATATTTTGTTATGTTTACTGTTACGCACCAACATAGGCAAATTCCAAAGTGAAAACTTACTTGGCAATAAACCTGAACCTGATTCTGTCTACAAATCTTATTGTTTTTATTTGTTTATATATGATAGTTTATATATATTTTTTTATAGCTTCTTATCCTGATTATTTAAACCTACTCTCTGTATGTACACTGAGAGATTCCCTGCATGTGTTTGCACATACCTGGGCCAATGAAAGTGAATGTGGTGGCTTTGTCGCCGCCCTGTGGCCACGGCGGGTATCGCCGGTGTTTAACGAGGTAATGTTTTTCTCGCAGCAGTATGAGGATAACAAGCCAGCGGATCTGAGTTGCGGTTACAAGCGCTGTCAACCGACGGCTAATAAGCTGAAAAACAAATGCAGTTTCTCAGAAAGAAGACCTCTGGTTTAACGAGCGACGAAGAAACACCCCCCTGCTTTTCTCTCCGTGTTTGTTTGTGTGCATGGAAGTCGTCGGGTTGGAGTTTGTGTGCGATCTCTCCGCTGCTGTCCGAGGATTAACACCAGACTCTGAAAGCGCCGTGATATCAGTTTAAGAGTGAAATTGAGGATTATTTTGGAGCATCACGTGTGATTATATATATATTTCTTGTTGCGTTTTGGTTGCCGCTTGTTCCCCGCACAGTTTGTGGGTAACATAAAAGTGGAAAAAGCCCAGTGAAGTCCGGACAAGAAGACAACAGCGGACACTTGTTGAAATCCAAATTAACCGAGTGTGAGCTGTGCTAACGGTCGGTAGCGAGATTTCAAAGCTAACGAGGCTAACAACTTTTCTCCTAAGCGCCGCAGATAAAAAAAAAAAAAAAACCTCCCAGCGCAGATTACTGCCAATACGTGTCTGTTACATGTCCACCGAGTGTCGGGAAGTTTGAGCAAAGTGCGTTTTGTGAGACATTGTTGTGAAATGACGACTGACAGCAGCTTAGCTAACTCGGCTAGCTGCAGCTGTTAACTCGTCCAGCGCTGCGTTAGCACTGGCGGCTAACGCGATGTTAAGTTAGATTCAAACAAGTGGTTCGTCAATATGGAGTTATTTCACACGGATAACTTCTTATAACCAACGCGACGTTTTCTGAAAGTTATTGGCGTTAACTTGCAAAACATAAATATATATATTTTTTTTGTTATAAAAGGCTTTTAATTACTCTCCCAGGCAGAAGAAGAAGACACTTTATTAACCGGGAGCTTTAACGGTAGCTTCTCAAACTTTGGGCCAACCAGTAATGTGTGCTGTGCTTTTACAACACAGATGGGTTCACTGAGAGACTTTGAAGAATAGACTCCCCCCCCCCAGCATCGTCTTCTACTTTCCCTCCTCTTCCTCTCGAGTAGCTGAAGTTGTGAAACTGCGGCCCGCACGATGTCCGGCTCCCCGGGCACAGGTGGCTCAAACCCCAGGAAGTTCAGCGAGAAGATAGCGCTGCACAACCAGAAGCAAGCAGAGGAGACGCGGGCCTTCGAGCAGCTGATGACAGACCTCACTGTTTCAAGGGTAAATACGTTTTAATTGTTTTACAGTTTATCTGTGTGGGGGGGTGTTGTTGCGTTCATTGTGCGGTACAAAGCTCCCTCCTGTCACACAGCCTGGGCTGGAGTGAAGCGGTCTCTCTCTCTCCCGGTTGTCCGATTCTCTTCATCCGCTGACTGAGATTTCTAGTGCTCAACCAGTACTTCTTGTTTTTTTTTTGTTATTTTTTCATTCAGTGGTTGCACAACTGTATTTACCACAATCAGAAGTCGGTTTGTGTTACAAAAAAAAAAAAAACAAGCAAAGAAACGAAGGAAGTGTGTTATAAAACGGGCCATTCGGGGGTGCAATGATTTACATAAACCGTACAACACCTCCGCTTTTTCTGTTTTTGGTTGGGACCGGCAGTGAAACAGGAAATGGGAATGTGTGTTCTTCTAACATCTGCACCCACCCGCCAAAAGTTCCTCCTGCTGGCACTCATCCAAAGGAAGCACTGCTGCCTGTTTTAAGATACAGCATGCATGTCTTCATGCTGTGTTTGCACCTTGTTATTCTGTTGTATGTAATCAATTCCCACGGGTTCAAACCTGATATGAGCCCTGAACCCTGAACCCTGGGCACTGTGGATAGGGTTCAGCCACAATACTCTCATATTTGTATCAGGCAGCAGTCTTATTTATTTCCTATAGGTGCTCCTGTGTCCCTCTTTGTACACCCTTAATTTATATTTTTAGAACATTTTCGGGGCGTACTGATTTAACAGTAAACAGTTAACCTTACATTTCCAGTTTAAGTTAACATTCACCTGACTAAAATTGTATTTCAGACTTAAAGATCCCATCCAGACATGTATTAGGGCATTTACAAATAGTCTGCTTGGAACAATATTGTTTTTTTTTCTGCAAAAAAAAGTATAATTTCCACATTAAGATCCTTTAAAAAGGCATCTTCTACTCCTACCTTATTAAAAAATCTATGAATATGAATGTGCACATCCATCGTTCTGCACGGCAGAGCTCAAACATCCGACTGTGGGAACGAGGACAAACAGATTTTTGAGTGGCAGGAGGCTTTAAAGGCCTGAAGCATCAGCATTGTCTCACCTATTTAGAGTTGTTTCTAAATAGCTAACAATTACTGTCAATATAGTGATTAATCTGGTGATTTTGTTCCCCTTTTTTTTTTCCTTAACCAATTATTTGTTTAGGCTTTAAAATGTCAAACAATGAAAACTGTCCATCACAAGTTCCCAGAGTCTGAAGTGACATCTTTAGATGTTTTTTAGACTCTAAAAGAATAACATTTTTCGTCATTTTTCAAGCCAAAATGGTTAAAAAAATCTGTCTCCGGTTTCTCAAAAGCTTCTCAACTGTAACTATATGTCTGCTTTTCTTTGTTATACATTGTAAATTCAATCTCTTTCTGGGTTTTGAACTGTTGCTCTGACAATACAAGACTTGAACTTGGATGATGGATAATTCTAAAAATGATCAGGCAGATTGATCGATAAGGAAAACAATCATCAATTGCAGCCGTGGCGTCACGAGGGGTGACGTTCAGCTGATGGTTTCAGAGTCAGATGGGAAAGTTAAAGTATGATTACAAAAATAATAGCACCTAAAAGAGATGGTGAGAGTGAGGTTTATAAGTATAGATGAACATTAACGGCAAAAGTATATATTTGTCTGCATTTGTAGCCACTCCCTGAATTTCTGTCACATGCTTTTATAAAAGATTACATTTTCCCCTTCATCTCATGATCATTTTAACTATAAACACCAAGTACCAGCCGAGTAATAAAAATATTGACCGCCATAGACGATATATATAAAAGACCTTTTTTTTTTTGCGTTATCCTCATACCATTGGTTCACAATGTTCTCTTTCAATGAGAGGCAGAGTCCTGAATGGCCACTCAAAGAGGATGTGGTTTTGAGGCGACACTGAATGAAGTTTGCCATAAGGTATGAACTGTCGGTGACCCCCTGTGAGACAGAAAAGCCCAGTCATCGAGGCGGAGGCTGGCTGGGGCACAAGTCACACTGCCAACAAACAGCTGGAATTAGAAGTGGCTGCTTTAACATTTATACCAGTGGCCAAAGGACTGAATATAAACTCCTCCTGAGGAACAGACTTCTCTCGGCTGGTGTGTGGCAGAAAGTTGGCATCGCTGTGAACTATATATGTGTACAGTCTGCATGTTTGATGTTATGTAACAGCGAATGCCAACACTGGAGTAAGAGGTTTAATGGAGATTTATTTAAAAAATATATTTTTAGATAGTTTAAATGTGTCCTATTTGAATGTGTACCGGTGAGACATCAAAGTTAATATGTTCGTCCCTCTGCTTTAGGCAGCAGTGACAGTTGTGATCTGACATTAATTGGCCATAGTTAACACATAATTAAAGTTACATTTTGGGTTCCTACTATATGTTTTATGTATATTTGAAGGTGTAAAATGTGCCTCCTCTAAATCAGTTGTCCATCCCTAATATCTTGTCATGTTAACAATCTCTTTGAGAGATCTGTGTCTGTAAATCTATTGATAAATCGAATAAGGTCAGTCTTTGAGATTCAAATTTTGCCCTTTCGGCAGTCTAAGGAAGAAATGCCCTTCTGATTTGCCTATCCGTGATCACAGTTGATGATTGGCTCTGTTTAACTTACCTTGGCAGAACAAGCCGCCTTCTGTTTTCTGCGAGGTAATCATTGTGGCATCTCTTGGTAGGGTGCTGGTTTGGAGGCCAAGCTGCCCATTTTCCTAGAATGTGTCCCATTGTCCCATAAACTGCAAACATTGCTGCATTTTTATCATCTTCAATGCACACGTACAATACTCCTGTGCTCCAAGAGCATTTGATTTAATTGGGTTGCTTGTAGAGATGCCGAAACCGATCATTTGTCCCCTTTTTGACTGACAGGTGCAGTTTCAGAAGATCCAGCAGCTTCGTTTGTCTCAGTCTCGGGCACCGTACTATGGAGGCTCTCTACCGAACGTCAATCAGATTGGCAACGCCAGCGTGGAATTTCAGGTGGGGCCTCATCACAATCAAAACATACAGCATCACCACAAACCACGAACACGTTTCTGAGACTGTTGGACTGCTTACTATTGTTGAAACCTAGTCCTAGACGAGTTACAATTTCAATGAATGCCAAATTCCAAACTCCCTTCAAGGAAGTTTTGAATCTCTGTCTGGAAAACCAGTCCTCTAGGTTTATCTGTAGTGATGTATTCCAGGTTTATTGCGTCCACCCAGTGTAAATGGTTTCTTAAGGTGTGTTCAGACACACATTTTGCTCAAGTTGAAACATTTTCACCTCACATGGATGCGTGCGTCTCTTTGTGAATTCCCACCATTCTGGGTGAATTGCAACGCAGTGTGGCACAAGTTGAGCCAGGTTAAACTTTGTTGGCTGGGTTTTCTTTTTGATTGAGCCCTCTGCATCAGCACCAGAGCTGTGCCAACACAGCAGTGCAATTTAAATAAATGAGGAGGCGGTCCCCCCCCCCCCCCCCGTAGTGCTAGTGTCAATCTGAACACAGCCTTGTAAACGCACTGGTGCTGTAAATCAGTGCATTTTGTGTGAATGTGCTCACATTTAAGCAAAAACGATGTTCGGTGTAAAACTAAACATGAATGTTTTCTTTGAAACCCTGCTTACCTTGGGATCTACCAAGTTCAAGGTGTTGTTCTCTCAGTCAGGGGGTTTTCAAGGCCGGACCACAGTAACCCTCAGTTCAAATGTTGTCTGGTCCAGTGGTTCCTAAACCTTAGAAGGAAATGTTCTGTCAAGCCAGCCAACCCCAATATAACATGCATGTATAGATGCTGATTGGTTACAAATGTTTAATTTAATATTAATAGTGCATTGAACATTAAATTGTTCTATTAAAATTCTACTCACTCAGAATAAAAGCCAGCAGATGCTCTGCAGATATACATATAAATATTTAATTTAAAATGAAAAATTAATACAATTAAATACGGTAATATGTTGGCTATGTAAAATGTGTTTTTCCTTTTTGTTAAAACTTAAAATGAGCTGATATTTAAGCTGTACGAGGACAAACAAACAAACAGAACAAGAAAAGGTTGCAGGCATTTTAATAGTTCATGTTGTGCACACTGTGGAGAGACAGAACACAACCTGCTCACTCTACTGACAGGCAGTTTCTTGTCTTTTTCTTGTATAATATATATAACACACATATGATGTTGGGAATCCACAGTGCCACACTGAATAAAGGATATCCGTCTCCCACAAGCAGCCAAAACTCTGTCTGTTGATCTGTTAGTTAGTTTTGAGAGAGTCCTGATTTTAGTTTTTGTTAGTCTCAGTCTGTGTTGTGCTGAGAGGTATCAGCATTTCTTTGAGCTCTGTTCAGCATGTCAAATCTTCCCATCACTGTCACTATTTTTGTGACTGACGAGCTCCGCCGAAAACAGTTTTTTGTTACCATGGCAACCGGCACCCGTGAGTTTTTGTGCCATTATCGGTGGCATAACTGCATATTAAACGGGTTTTAGTACAGTGATTTTGATAGTTATGGCCTTTTTCTTCTGATTTGATGTGTTTGAAAATATAATGACTTCCTGTGTCTCCCTGCTGTCACTGTTCAAGGACCAATGTGTAGGATTTAGTGGCAGCGGTTTAGTTGCTTATTTCAGCGCCCTGTTCTAAGTGTGTATGAGAAACTACAGTGGCTACAAAACTCACTAAAAACACAAAGTCTAGAGCCAGTGCTTTGTTTGTCCATTTGGGCTACTATAGAAACATGGTGGTTCAACATAGTGGCCTCCATAGACAAGGACCCGAACCCTCAGTTGATTATTCACTAATGCAAAAAATATACCTGTAAATATTATGCTATCCACTTCACAATGTATTAACAATAATGTGATAAATCTTTAGAGATCCTTGGACCTTCCTCAAGGCACCCCAGGGTGCTATTGCACAGAGGTTGGGAACCACTGCTCCGGTCTCACTGCAGAAACAGCAAAACACTTCATTGGACCTTCAGAAGTGCAAACAAGCTTCTCCCGAGAGCGTTAAATAATTTAGCTGCCGACTGGAAAAGATATAGAATTAAAGATCAGTGCAGTAGTTCTCAGCACTCCTTTAAGCAGCGCAGTGCTGTTTGTGATCCAGCAGTGCTTTTCTGCAGCACTTTATCTGTGTCAGCTCTCCAAGGAGTAGGCTATGCTGGGATACAGAGGGTCCAGGTGAAAGTGCCCTTGTTACTTAAAAGAATGGCCCTTTGAGGTAGAGCAGTAATTGCAACACCGTGGCCAGGTCTAGTAATCAATCCCCACATGAAGGGAGAAAGCCCCTCTCACTTATAGAGCCCGTTCACCTTCTCTTCTGGGAACAAAACTCGACAATCTTAATGGCTTCTAGATTCCACTTGATGATAACCATTTGTTAGCCCTAATTCATCTAAATGAATGCAGAGCACTTAATGTAGCCGGCGCTGAGTAGGCACATACACTTTCATCTGCAGTTCGTGTGCACATGCCCAGCATTCAAATGTGGATCATATATTCAAACTCAAGACATTGTTGAATGTATTAGCAGCAATTTAATCATTAACCACGTGGTCTGTGACAGTGTGAACAGGACAATTTAAAATTGCAAGAAAAGTAAGACTTAGTCACTTCAAAGTACACTTGTTTAACAGTAAAAACCGGGAAATTAAAGCTGTGCTTATTCTACTTTTCGTGCATAATATATTATAGTATCTTATATAAGATTCATCATTGCTACGATGCACTAATATGCCATTTTGTGATGGAAGTATTCTTGGCTTAAACGCCTTCATGCAGTCATGTACTATTGTGTGTCATTATTAAACTAACACAACTATATTTAATTGCACTTCTGTGTCTGTAGTGTTTATCAGCAGTCCTTTGTGTTTGAAGAGTCATCATGACCTAAAAAAACATTTGAAACCTAGCAGTCATCACATGGCCATATAATAGTTGGTAATTGTTTTAATACAGCTCTGTGGTATGTCACATCAGTTAATAAAAGCCTGAGGTGTTAGACTTTATTTATTTTAGGCGTGAATACAAATAAGATATTTGTATTGATGTTTTTGCTAAATACTGCATTCAGATACAACTGAAGTTTGGTTAAAATGACATATAAGTGATTGTCAGATGTCTCTTGACTTCCTCTCTACCAATCTGGAAACCTGCAGTTATGTGTCTGATATTTCTTTTTCAGGGTGGCTTTCAGTCAGGGTTGGACTCAGTCAGAGGGACCCGCCACCATGGACTGGTCGAGAGGGTCCACAGGGACCGCAACCGCATCAACTCTCCCCATCGTCGACCCATCGACAAGCATGGACGGCAGATATCCTTTCAAACCTCAATCATTGACACTGCAATGCCGTGGTCATGTGATGCCTACTCTGGGGTTGAGCTCATTACTGCAAATAGGGATGGGGCCGATCCGATCCAGTATCGGGACCGATACCAGCGTAATTCACGTATCGGATTTTCCCGATCCAAGAGTATCCATGAGCCATGTCTGCGCTTTAACGTTGTCTGCTGAAATGACTCCACACGTGATTCCTGCCGGCCAGTCTGCTAGCTGGCTGCAAACTGTGGAATGGATTTCCTGAACGGAGGCTCGGCTCAATGAGACACAGAGTTATGAGACACGCCCCCGCTCAGGAAATCCATTCCGCAGTTTGCAGCCAGATAGAAAAGCCGTGATTCAGAGAGGCGGAAGCTCCCTCGCGTCGTACAACACTACGAACGCAATCAAACGTTTAAAAAAGCACCACACGAATGAGTGCGAGGATTATTGGGTCAAAATGAGAACCACCACTTGATTGTTAAAGTAGTATTACAGTTCTTACACGATACAGGGCTATATATGAACATCTGAAGCAGTAACATTATCCTTAGTGACTTCCTGAGGAGGGCAGAAATATGCCTAGAAGCGTCTAAACTGCCGGAAATCCATATGAAGAAGAAGAAGAGCAGGGCCAGAAAGAGAAAAAGAGCTGTCAGGAATCACTTCTGGAGTCATTCCAAAAACAAGGTAAACTCCAGGCAGACAACGTAAAAGCTAGAGGTGTGTGTGTGCGTGTGTGCGTGCGTGCGTGCGTGTTTACACTTATTGCACTTTTCTTATATTTCAAATATTTGACATTTTGGGAATTTAATAAATATTGACATGACAATCAATTTGAAACCCTTACAGTTGCATATTTGTTTTCAGGACAGGATTTCCTGTTTTTCTGACTTCCTTTACTTACCTCAAGTTGCCTTTTGGGACATACATGCATACATACGTACATATCATACTTGCCTGTTGAGCGGAGTTTATTTCAGCCTCATATAAAATCAACAATAATGATAATAATATTATTAAAGCAAACAGAGCTCTGGTATCGGAATAATATCGGTATCAGCCGATATCCAAATTCAGGTGTCGGGATTGGATCGGAAGTGAAAAAATGTGGATCGGTGCATCCCTAACTGCAAAGTTTTATTAAAAGTGTTTATTAATTGTTTCTATCTCTTGGCACGAGAAGAGTCATCTCATGTCATTCCATTGCACAATGGGTTTGAGATTAGAGCTGTCACACACACGCCCAGTTAGTCATTGGTGATAACCAGCAAACTGCAGCGATACATTGTTTTTTTTCACTGTGTTAAGAAAAATCCATACCGTCACAGTCCTTGTAGGATATCTCAAAGGGTAACCAGTGATGTGGGTGTGGAAGTGGGTGTTGTGGCTTCCAGGTGGTTGGTCTTCATTGTTGTTGGGGTTTTTTTTTTATGGCAGTGTTTGTGGTGTGGTTTCAAGCGTGACGACACTTACCAGTGTAGGCAGCTGTTTTGTAGCCTCAGGAACAGAATTAGTCATTATGCTAATTTGAAATGTGACGCAGAGACTGTGCGCTTTATTCATGCCTAATGGACATTGACAGTAGGAGATTCTCAGCATACTCTGAATGCACACTCGGGGCATTTGTGGCTGAATGTAGCAGCAGATGTGATTTTTATGAGGAAGCTGCAGAAAGGTGTCGAATTAACGTAATGGTGATGATACACAGAATAAGGACCAGAGGAGTGAGTGTTTGCACTTAAACTTTCAGCTACATCAATTAAAATCCATTTTCCCTGAGTCTCTTCAGAATTTGAGAGAGAGCGAGAGAGCAGAAAAAATCTGCTACATTTTGGTTACAAATCGTATTGTTTGTAGACATATAATTCAGGCTTGGTATGTTTGATAAACCAGATTGTGTTATATGAACTGCTCCCATTTGCAATGCACAGCTTATCTCCATGAATATTGTCACCAGTCAGCTATCCCATGTGTTGTGTGTGTCAGAATTATTTACATTTGCGTCGGTATCTCGTGTAGTATGTAATAGAGACAAGTGGTTGAATTTACACCCATTATTAATTAATTAGCTATTTTTTAAAAACATTCTTTGTAAGTAATATATAGTTAATTGGATTTTCTTTAGATAATTTGCATTTGAGATACAGGATGCTTTAAATTTCCTGATCTGGATTCACACCCAATATGTTACATTTACATGAAACACCACGTAGCCCACTGATCCATCAGCACGCTCTCACCTCATAGCGTTTTAATAAGCGGATCTGTTTATTTCCTGCCTTGGGACGGAGATGATTCAGTGACCTGTCACTATGGTGTGTGATAACTGGAAGGGAGTTTGTCTTGTAACCCAGCATTTGATATCATACGTGTGCATGTGTGTGCGTGTGTGTATGTACAATAGACAGGGGTGACCTACATTGAGGCTGAATGTTTAAATTGAAAAAGTTCAAGCGGGGTAGCATAGCTCTAATCATTCTTAACTGTTTCAAAGGGTTCCTGATTGATCAGCAGTATCATTTAGATAAATTTAGGCATTATAAGCAAGCTCTGTGGTTTGTCTTGAATAGTCCACGTTATTGTGAATATGTGTAATGTAAGTCTTGCTTTTTATTTATAGGTATAATAGTAAATGAAAAGTGCAAAATATGACAGAAACAACAACACAAAAACAAGGCCCATTAAGTCCATAAGAGATGTAGTTTCTAGATCATGTGGGATGGTGTTTTCTATCATTTTTATTTTTCTCAGTTTTGTTAGGGTGCCTTGATTCCCTGTTATGAATGGAGTTGTGGTTGCAGCCAATCACCTCAGTTTAGAAAAAAAACCTCATGCAACTGACATTTGGAGAGGGTGAACCAGTTCAATGTTTTTTAAAGGCATACTGAGTAGGGTTTCCTAAAAAAACAATGTATTGACTGCAAACAAAATCCCTGCAGGGGAGAGACCCCGCAGCACTCTGCCTGTATTTTCTTATTTTGCTGTGTGCAGGATGTTTCTGGGCGTCAACCATCGGGGAGTGGGCAGTGTCTACACTATAAAAACTTAGAGTGAGTAGATCGCTGTCTCCGTCCCTCCGCTCTGCTCTCCAGCACTGGCACAGCAATTAAACAAAGTGTGCAGTCAAAGCGCTAGTATGAACGTATAAAGAGCTGCAGTCTGTGTGTCTGTTTGAGGGTGGGGCTGAGCTACACACTGCAGACAGACACAGCAGACAGTGCGACCTCGCCACAAGCTGGCACAGTGCCGGCGCACCTTCCACAGGATTGTGCGGAGGTGCTGTAGTGCACAGGCATAAGTTTGTTTCGGAAACAATCAGAAAATAACATTTTATTTCTCTGATTCACTGCTTTGTTCTTGGTAACGGCGCTCCCTCTCTGCATTCACTCTCTAGCTTGTTCTTGGTCACGGTTGAGTAGGGGATGAGTGGCCAACTCTGAATGGTGTGTTGAAGGATAGGAGGATTCTAGGTTTTCTCTCAATACCCAGCAACTGAAGCACCACAATCCAGTGAAATAAGAAGAAATCCAATTCCACAATCCTTATTCACATTCCAAACTGTAAATACTTCAACTATACATACTTTGAAGGCTACCTAGTAAAAACAATATGTTGTTTCTTTATTGCTTTATTATTGCAGTAAGGTTTATATCCACCTCTTGACCATATTCTCAGTTTCTCCCCCTTTACAAAATGAATGATATCTGAAGAGTTTTTTTATTATTATTTATTTCATTAGATGAAAAGACCAAATTGCTCTTTATTGCGCTAAATCATCTGATCATGCTGCCATCGCTCATATTTTCAACAGTCAAACCACATTAAGGGCTGTAAATGTATTAGTCAAGTAGTAGGTTCTGTTTTTGCTCTCATCCAAAATGTATCCAAGTCAGAGTTATAGTTATTCTGCTTACTGATTGAATGATAATTTTACTGATCATAGACTGTTTCATGTTGGCTAAAATCCTCATAGGGCTGCTTGTGTTTAGACAAAACAAAAGACAGCAAACTTCTTAAGTTAATATTTTTTTTTCTTCCACAAAGAAAGGTATCGTTTAGTATTGATGCCTTAACTCACATGTCTGGTATGACACTGTATTGAAAATACTGAATCCACTGAATCCACTGAGAATTAATTGAACCTGGCAGCTGCAACCGGGACCATCATCTGCTCTGGAGAGTGGTTTAAATGATGATGACAGGGAGCAGTGCAGCTTTTTGAAAATGAAAATGTGTAGTGCGGTCTGTGGCTCTGGTTTATCCATTCATAGAACCATATTTTGAAAATGGAAAAGTGGTTTGTAACTCTGATTTTTATATATTTTTTTTAATTACATCCCAATTTTACAGTCATTGCTTGTGTTAGTGTGTAGTTTAGTTGTGCATAGTTTCCACACACTGGACACGCAATTTAACCGTGCCATCTACAGCTTGTGGTTGACCCCACCATTATAGTTGTTAAAATGTGTTAAGTAAGAGCGCATGAACAAGTTTAAATAACCAGTTTGACAGGATAGTTCCCTTTCCTCCACTGCGTCTGAAGAAACCACAGTAGTGCCCTTTTTTATTTGTGTATATTTGAAGAGGGTCTTATCTGACATTTTGTGTGAGGGTTGATGAGCGATAGCAGGGCTCCAGTCTCTGTAAAGCTGTCTCACTACTGATAATAATTTGTCCAAGGCCTAAACAGATGCTGTGTAGAGCAGTGGTTGGCCTTGTGTAGCTCCCAATCTGTTTTGATTTGTTTTTGTTGGTCAGTCAACGTTTTTAATGCCAGTCTCTGCACAACTACCCAGGCAGGAGATTGTTTCTAGAGCAGAGGAGCTTGACTTGCACTAAAAGAGTGCTTTTGGCAAGACAAAACACCTCCCTTCTGAAGTCCTGCCCTTTCACAGACAATGCCAGGAACTCTGCCTCTGTACTCAGTTGTAAATCAAATAATACTGTCATTGTTTCATTTAGTATTTGAAAAAGGCAGCTCTATTGTTTACACTTGTCTTTCACCACAACAGGACTTCGATGAGAATGTGCTTACAACACGATGCTTTCTTTTCTCTTTGAACTGTCATCCTCTTAAGAATTTATGCCATGCATTTGAGTTTAGAGCTGGCTATATAACTCATCCTTGTTGCATTTTGGAGAGAAAAAAAAAAAGTCAAGGTGAAGTAGACTATGGGCGCTTTTATACTTTACAGTTTCCATTCACATAGAAAATGCATTGTATTCTAGTTGTCTCCAACTTTTTTTTGCCGTGGTAATATCTAGTAATATGAAATCTTTATTAAATAAACGTACTGTTTATGTTTCTGTATTTGTGCCAATCATTTCCTTAACTAAAACCTACATCGAGAGCTCTCCGTATGGAGCAGTGTACCTGTCCCCACCTCTGGATAACAACTGGAGAAGGTGAGTAGTGCATCTGTTGAGTGGCTGAATGAATGGTTATTGTCCTCTTTTCTTCCTCTAACTAGATTATTTTACAACAGGAACTATTTCCTATTGCCAGTCCGTTTCCTGTATCAAGTCTCTCTGTGCCTACGAGTATTGTCTTTCTATATCCAGGCACCAGTCATCTTGATCAAACACAAATCAAAAACGGACATAATCAGTGGATGTCCAGGGCAGAACTGAGGCAGGGTGAGGGGTGAAGTCCATTTTTTTTTTGCACAAATGTTTCAAGTGTCAGGCGTCTTTGTTAGCCCTGGGAAAGCTGCATCTACCTAAAGGTGTTTGACAGATAGCCTTTTGCTTTAAAGGTCATGCCCAACAGCAGTCACCCTACTGTTTAGGGATTTTAGGTTGTCACACGGCCCTGTGGTATAGAATCTCCAACTTAGCAGAAATCTAATCGCAGTACCTGCTGGAAAACAAAGCTACACTAGGCCTAGATGTGAGCTGTAAGATCTCTTTTTCCAGCTCTGGTTGTGCCCACGTAGAGCAGTCGGTGTACTGGTAGACAGCCTTTCCTCAGTGTTTACAAGGGAGTGAATTATGGCCGTGTGATAAAAAAGCTCAGCGAAGCTCCTCCCCGCTCACTCTCTTTCACTCTTGCTCTGTCTCCACACTTGTGTTTTGTATGCTGGCTTGGCGAGCTGCCAATCACCCTGCCTCGTCTTCTTCCACGGCGGCGACACAGACGTTTGCCAGGCTCCGTGTTGAGCGTACTATAACAGCTTGTACTGTAGAAGAGAAAAGGGCCCACGCCCTCTTGTCATTGTTGACAGCACAAAACAGGTTGGCTGACAAACCACCTCACGGAGCAACAAGACATCAGTGTTCTCATAGTGGGTGTGTGAGCCATGTGGCACAAAGCACTGAATGTAGGCTCTCATGTTTAATTCACTCACTGTACTCACTGCTAAGTTCCTGACCGTGTTTCTCAATGGAAGATTATCATGTCATCTGAACTTCAGTTAGAGTATGAAAAATGTGACAACCATTTTCATTTAATTAAATACTTCTGTCATGAAGGCACATAGCACAAGCAAGCTTGTCTAGTAGACCTATCATTCATACTCTACATGAAGTGCATCTTTCTGTGGCATAAATCTGTTTATTATACGCTGTAAACTGATAGACCACAAATTGTTTTCCATTGATTGTCATACATGAGCTCTGTAGACATAACAGTCCTCAGTCTTTGTTAAAAAAAAACGAGATGGCATAACAATTCTCTCCTTAATTCTGCTCATGTTCATCTCTCCCTTTGATTGCTTCTTCTCTTCTACCATTCCCCACCGACAGTTCTGTATATGTGATTTGCATCAGCTCTGTCAAGTCTCTGCAGGCCAAGCCTAGCCTCCTGCTCCAACCTGCAGCAGATTGTTGTCACAGTGTGTAACAGGGATACATTTCCCCTCAGCAGTGGATCCTGGCCCACTTCACTGTCACAGGCAGATATATAGAAGTTTCCCCTTCGTACTGGCATAACTGACTGTGTCGAAAACAGACAAGGGTCTAAAGCTTGGAGAACACCCAAATCCATCTGCTTATTGTCTACATATCTATTTATCATAAGAGAGTTTCACACAAGTTTCAGTTTAATTGTCTTTTGGTTGCTTTTTAGTTTTGATTATACTCACCATTGTTTAGTTAGGGCTGCAACCAGCTTACTAACAAAACAATGTTCTGATTTTATCTCGATCTTTCATGCATATGTGGTTTGCATCTTTTTCTTTTTTTTCATGTTTCAGCCAAGACAAACATTGGTGCTCCTGGCAACTTGTTCTTATTTCTATTAGCTCACTGTGCTCCTGCTATGTAAAAAAACTGGCTAGTAAACCCTGAAACTTTGCCTATCAGCATCTGGCAGCATGCTATGAGGGAATTAGACTTTTATGATCCATGGTTGATTTACAGACTGGTTTTCAGAGCATGTGAAAGACTAGAATGAAAAAAAGAAGATGGAGAATGTTACATATACGTAGTTAGACAGAACTTAATTGAGGTGTAACTTGAGATGCATCCATATTCATCTGCTGAAAATCAGACCAGAAAGTCCTTAGAGCCGAGACAAGAACATTTTTAACAACCAGTTGTAGAAAACATCGTAGAACATTTGAAGTGAAAGGTCACATAGAAATACAATCCAGCATTTCCCTTAAAGAACTGGACAGTGCTGCATTACCCTACCATAGCAGCACCATCATTCTACTTCCAAAATAGGATGCCTGTGCATATTCTCATGCAACTTTAGCATGCAATATAGGTTGGCAATAATTCCTAGGTGTCCTGTGTAGACCACTGGATTCACGCGTACTACACAATTTAAATATGTAGTTTTCAGTTGTTAACACTAATTGTGAATTATCATCTAACATTTTATTTCGTTCTTGGACCTAGGAGTAAAATTGCACTACTTGTCAGGGTCGTGCCCAAGACAGATGTTTCCAATGCAACCTGGTAATTTTGCTAATTATATCATGATTCATTTCCAATAGCTGTCTATTGACCAGAATGAATGAACAGTACAAAACTTGCTTTTACACAATCAGTGCTCTGTTGAAGTAAAGACATAACAAATTGTAGGAGGGGAGATAGGAAATCAGAGTCTGGACTGAAGTCTAGCCAGATTAGGGAGGCTCTTTTTCCAGTAACCTTTTGGGAAATCTCATTGAAGAAAATGATCCTTTGTTGCACTCCTTTACAAGAGACGGATGTTGATATGCTCTTAAATTAAAAAAAATTAAAAAATAAATAATTAAAACCTTTTTAGTCTTGTCCAGAGAACAGACCAGTTCCTTAACTTAATATCCATCCATGGTAATGGTCTTAGGCTCTTGTGTTGTTGCTGTGAGATGCAGATTCCCTGCTTGTCCGTCTCAGGGGAGAGCGGGGCGGTAAGTGTTTACAACGCCAACCACATCTGCACTGCATTACCGCCAGTCAGCTCTGGAGAAGACCCACAGAGCTCTTTAACTGTTTCAGTGCTTTAACTACCACAGCAGTGATCAGCTATCTGCTGTACAGATAGCCTCTTGCACTGATGACTGAGAACAAGGGGCCAGAGGTAGATGTGCAGTGAGCATGCATATTGTGAAGAGCACCATTAGTTTCAGGTTGCAATAACATTGTTTTTTAACTGCTGCATGTTTGTATTAAGATGACTCGTGCCAAGCTTCCCAGCCTCTTTTAGATCAAGACTTGGAGGCAGTGGGCCAGTGCTAAGGGATCGTCCGGCATGACAGAAATGCTGGGGAACAGAGCTGTTCACATAGCCTTTAACCGCTCCGTGACCAGCAGTGTGGCCAACAGATTTTATCATCTCTCTGGATTTGGTGAGGCTGTTTTTTTCAAGTAGTGATTTCCCAACTTTGTCCATCTGTAGTCAGTCGGAACATGATTTTTTATATCCACCATCTGTCCTATAGAGTTTACTCAAGTACAGTGCTTGTTCGGAAATGTGCTGTCTCAAAGAATATTACTGTACGCTGGTGTTTGGGAAGAGGATTTCTTATAGGGAATTTGCTTCTTGGGGTCCGAAGGCATCAGACCTGAGTACTGCCCTGGATGTGTCCCTTCGGAGGCCATCTGTTTTAGGGTCAGAGCCTTGATCCAGTCCCACGCCCTCCTACTCTCCCATTCACCCATCTTTGGCCGGCTATTCCTGTACCAGCCCCTCTCGGGATGAAATCTCAGACCAAGCTCCCTGTAGATTTCTCAGTAGAAAGGCCCTCCAGAGGAGAGATCTTAAAATGTCCTCTTTGCAAGACTGGGTGTGATGACTCTCGAGGACTTTTATCCTCCATCTAGGTGGTCTGATTACTGCACTCCTATTAGAAAAGTGCTTCTGCTCTTTAACACCAACTTCTCTCTCACCCTAAAATTACATCACGTCTTACAACTCAGGCTCCAGACTGTTGATCAAAAGCTTTGGTTAGCATTAGACATACAAAGCTACACATGATTATTCTTGCATAATATTCGTCTTGTTTACCCCAGTTGACCTATTAAGTGTGTTTCATCTTTAACACTGCACTTCTTTGGCTAATTGAAGTATCTCAGCCTTGTTTCTAGACATATACTATATGCTTGCTTGCTAATATCCTAAAGCAGTTTAATGTGTTTAATTCAACCTAGTTACACTTTTCTGTAAATCCAGCATGAAAACAAAATCAACATGTCTGTGTCAGACAGATATTTGTTGCTGGATGGGTGGAGTGCCATAGCTCATCTGCATTCCACAGCCTACATCATCTATCTAAATATAAGTATAAGCTGTTACACCTTACAAAGACAAGCATAGTGGCTAAACCATGTGATGTGACATGTGGAAGTTGTGTGGTTTGTCTACTGTTGTTCTTACACTGCTCATCAAGTGTCTCAGTTAAAGGACACTGCCATATCAGAGCTGCCCCCCCTGCAGTATTAACGTGGACCTACAGGCTTTAATGTTGCATTGGGTTTGTTAAAGCCTTGTTTTTAGCGTGACTATCCAGCATGTCTTAGGTTATACAAAAGGTTCAAAGGTTTCAAAGGGGGCACGGGAGGAGGACCTCCGCTGCAGATGTCGAGTTGAATCTTCCTGGAAGAAAAATGAGCACCACCTTATCTTTTGACCATGATGCGATGAGTTCATAACAAAACCCAAAACAAGAAGAGCCAGCTTCCAACACAGACAGCAGTTACATGATGAAGTGCTTGCTGTGCCTCCTGAAAGACACTGACTAACCTCTGCATGCACATAATGTAGGTGAAAAGGTGATACATACTCAAATTCACAGAGTGCGCAAGGAGAGGACTAATTTCAGCCCCAGCTGTTTAACCAGCCCTGTTGTCCAACATTCCTATCAGTCATAATAACATTGTACTCACCAAGTTAATTGCTGAGATCCGTGAATGCAGTAACATCACAAAAATAATGTCAAGACAAGAAAAACATGCACTAAATTTCATTTTTACTTCCTTATCAAGTAGTTTAGATAATCTGGCTAAGCTTTTGGCTTTTGTACAAGCTGTCTGATCATTTGACCTCTTGTTGTTGACCGGTCTGACTTCATTCTAGAGATGTCACTGTGTTCCCAGATCTCAGCTATTGTTTTGAGTACAATGTTATCCAAACCAAAAGAAATGATAACCAAAACTGTAAAATAAGTTGTAATAAACTGAAATTATTAAGTACCATAGAACTTTTTGGACAAAGAAATCACAATGTAAATGTTTAGTAAAAACAAGACAGTTGACAACAAAACAGTCAAAATTCTGATATGATAAGCAAGTGTACTGAGAACATGACCGCCAGCATGACTGAAAACAAAGGTGGTCTAGGGACATTTGACTTCTTTTGTGAACCATTTGTATTTTTAGAAGACAAGTTCTGCCAGTTAAAAGAAGCCACAGTTACTTCTGTGCACTTTCAGCCTAAGGAAGAGTCAGGACCCATTTTGCTGAGCGCTTCAGAAAAATCCACTTAGTCACTGTTCCCACTCCACCGTTGCAGGCTTTGACAATGACCCTTCAGATCAAGTTGTTTACGTCGTTTCTCTCTCTGGCTAGCCATTCCCCAGAGAGCTGGTTGTGTTGCATTAGTTTTCTCTCCCCACTAGATATGGGAGAACAGCTTGTAACCACTCCGCTGCAGGTTTATAAACCTGACTTGCAGTCATTCGTCTCGTTAGCTCTCCTGTCTTTGTTTGTCTTCAGTTTTTCCGTCTCATCTGTCTTCACTCCACTTTTAATTTATTCTGTCTTTCCATTTTCCTCAAACATACAATGGTATTGTGCTGTATCTGAGTATTTTCCAGGGTCTTTCTTCTTTCCACACATTCGCCAACACGGACATTTCATATTTTTTTTTACCAAGATACCTTCTCTTTTTCACAAACTCTAAGGCAGGATCCAGGGGTCTCTTCTTTCACACAGTAAATTTGTCTGTCATTCTTTTCCTCTGTCTCTCTTTGAAGGGAACAGCAGCCATGGACTGAGGAAAAACGGCCTGGGTTTAGATTAATATCACAACTCAACAGGTGACCCTTGACCCCCCCCTTTCCCTCAGTCTGTCTTTACCGCTTTATCCCTTGCTCGCACAGAGGCCAACAATTCTGTTCTTTGTCTTTTTGCAATCTCTCTTGACTACATTGCGTCCTGGTTTCTATCCTTTGTAAATCTCCGCCTGATTTGTTACATCTCAATAATCCCCTCCTTTCTTCCTTTGAAGCACTGAGATAGAGGGCCGCAAAATCTCAGCTACAGACTGCTATGGTTGATTTATTCTTTATTTTTCTCCTTGTAGTTTTCCACTCATCCTTCCAGTTTGGAATTTCTGAAACATTAATCAATAGTTCTTCTCTCTTACTAACCCAGCTTTAGGGCTCACGGCACTTTCGCAGTCTAATATCAAGGCTCCCAATTCACATTTTCTTATTTTCAGCCTTTTTACATTCTTCTCCAAGTGTTGTGTAAAGTATTGTTTTCAAAACTGAACTCTTTGTGAGTCAAAGTTTTCTGCATTCAGAGCAAATCCAGTTTGAGTTGAGTGTTGAGAGCACAGGGGCAGTGCTGTGGGACCAGCACAGAGAGGAGTTGTGATTGCATCCCCAAACTTAACTATTCAATATATACACATATTTTTCCTTTGTTTTGAACATTTTAAAATACCAACTGTACTTATTTACTTGAGGAATTGGGAAATGTGCTTATTTGCTGTCTTAACAAGAGTTAAATGAGGAAATTGATATAAATTTGACTTCTCTAGGTTCAGTACAGGGATAGCTCTGTGACATGTTTATCCTAGATTTGCTCGATGCTGGTAGGCACCAGTACATCCGAGGAATGTTTGAAAACATTTGAGAAATATGAACATTTTGCCACAATTTTAAATATTGTCTAAACAGCTTGATAAAAACTTAAGATAAGATGATTTAGGAGAAGGTAAACAACTATGAAGCTGATGAAGCATTCGATGCCAACATTCGGTACTTGACATTTTTTGCTACCAAACCTTTTTGAGTGTTGGAGGTCCAGTGTGTCACACTTGATGGCATCTGGCGGTGAGATTGCAGATTGCAACCAACTGAAACCCCTTCATCCAACCAAGTGTGTAGGAGACAATAAGGTGGCTGCAAAAATGTGAAAAAAATGTGAAAGGCCCTATCTAGAGCCAGTGTTTGGTTTGTCTGGTCTGGGCTTCTGTAGAAACATGACGATTCAACATGGTGGCTTCTGTAGAAGAGGACCCTTTTTATGTAGTTAAACACGGCTCATTCGAAGGAAGCGAAAACGCAACACTTCTTATCTTATTTTCAGGCAATTCTATACTCATGAAAACCGATCTATAAGTATTATTTTCCATTTGTGCCAATAAATCTTCATAAATGTTACACACTGGACCTTTAACTCTCTTTAAGATTGCAAATTTCCCCAAAATGTGAGTATTCTTTAAAGATGACTAATTGAGGCTTTAAATAGCCATAATGTTCTAAACATGTATATCGTTAAAGAAAATACATTATACCACTCATAATGGTTGCCTTAGTGTAATGAAATGGTGACCTCGTTGTGACTTTAGTGTTTAATGTAAACATGATACAGTTTTCCATCATTGGAATATTGCATTTTCCTTATATGCTGTGTTGCTACTTAAAAATACATGTAAGCTGTTTAGACAATCTGGCTGGAGATCATTCTGATGATCTTAATCCGTGTGTTTATTTACATATTTCCTCTTTACGTGACATAATTAATCAGTTACTTTTACATAAGATAACCAAACGGTTAACAAAACAAATAAAATAAAATAATGTAAACCCATAAAAGGCTTAAAAATCTGATCTTGAGGGGCTATTTGAGTGATTTTGTTTTTCTAGACCAGGAGACCTAACCTGACATCTTAAAAATAAAGACAGATGGATCAAATTTAAGTATGATGACTACAATTTGCTACAATGTACTAGAAGGGAAGTAGGACTGACGCATGAAAGAAGCCATTGAGGCTTAATGGATAGCACTAGAGAAAGCTTGCAGCCAGAGTGATGTAGGACTCAGGTTTGTGTGGTATTGCCCAGGCATGTGTGTGCGCTTGAGAGCTTGGTACAGGTGAGAATGTTTAAGTGAATTTCTTACACATATTAGATATGTACAAGAAGAAGTAACTGATTTCAAATCAAATCATTTTTGTAGCTGTCAAAGATAAAAAAAAACGTTAAACTTAACGTAACTTAACGCTAGTGGCAAAATTGTGAATGCATCCCTGTCAAATCAATTGCAGGTAAAATGAAAATTATATTCCTGAACCTTCAATATATATATATATGAGTATTATTAGGGAAAACAAATAATAGCATAGTTATATGAAGCACTTTTAGGTGATTATTATTTCATGACGGAGCCAAATTGTGTTTTCATCACAGGCCGATAAACATTTAGTCCAGCGCTGTGAGGATGTTTGTGAGTAAGGTCAGTGTGAGCTTGCAGATGAATGCAGCTTGTGTGGAGGCAGAGCAGGAAGCAGAATGACTCACTGACCTTATGGCCCGCAGAAATACTCTGCCTCTGTCCAAGGTGCTGGAACACTTTGCATAATTTTGCTCTTCCTCCTCCTCCTCCTCCTCCTCCTCTGCCTCCTACACAGAACCAACTCAGACTCTGCTCTGCATACGAGTGCTATGAACCCAAACCCTCAGGACCCCTTTGGCATGAACCAGCAGATGGGTCGAGGTCCCCCCCAGCGTAATGGTGAGAGTAACAACACACACACACACACACACACACACACACACACACACACACACACACACACACACACACTCACTCAGAACACAAAATTGACTTGACCGTGTTTAAAATATTTCTCATCGATTAATGTATCCTTAACTCAGCGGCAGCTTGCGGAGCCCTGTACCTCAGCTCCGTCATTTGACCCAGTTTGGTTTTTTACCCTTCATCTATTTCTTTTTAGTTTCATTTTTCCCTCTACTATAGCTGCGTAGCTGCCCAATTTAAAGCTGCTTGCAGAGAGAATTTTGGAGTATTTTCTCTTAATAAAGGCTGAGTCTAATCCAATCACCCCATAGTCCTATTTGAGGATTTGTTTTCTATATTCAAATGGATTTCAGTGACTCAAGTCACTGTTATTGGCTGTCTGCCAATCTTATAATGTCAGATCCCCATCTCGACAAGCTCACAGAAACCTGGAGAAACAAAAACTGGGTTAAATATGTAAAGTTCCCTTCCACTCAATCAAAATGTGTTTTACATTTTTACTTCACTACAGATTGATGTATGTGCAGTGTTTGACACTAGAAGACTTGCACATACGAGCCACTGACTATATAAAATATGGACATATTCTTCATGACGTCATCCATAGGTTTCTAAGCGCTTCTGTGAAGCTCGCTGTGGTGGCTCTGGCCACTGCCATCTTGGCAGTCTTGACTACAAACAAACAAATGGACAAAGAGGTGGAGCGTGGATGGGGTTGAGGCGGGCCAAATGAAGCCTGGTTACTGAAAACAGCCACCTGTGACAGCACTCACCTGTCACTCAAAGAGGCCATGCCCTTAATTATACATAACTTAATATAATGTAAACGGTTATATACAGTTATATAAAAATGCTCTGTAAAAATCTGTAGCCAGCCTCGAGTGGCCGTTTAAGGAACTGCAGTCTTTGCTACTTCCATATCGGCTTCATTTGGTTGCCCCTTGGTAACGAGCATGATTTGTGACATCACGTTAACTAGAGTGGAAGCAATCTCTTCTCAGAGAAGTCAGAGACATCCTGTGTCCAACAGTTCAACTTTTTTTGTGGAAAAAAACACATCAGACACAAATTGTTCTTCAAAGCAGAATATTTTTTTTATATATAAAACATGTCTGGAGGGGATCTTCAAAAAATTTTCTGCCCTAGCAGCGACTTATTTTTTTCCTTGCTCCAAAACTTTAGACTTGACTTTATAACATAAAAACTGCATTAGATGTGTGTTGTAAAAGCTTCACAGACTAAATCTCATTTAAGAGTCGAGTCATTACTATCATTGCCTGTTAACAGAGCTGCTGTCTCTGTCGTAATGAAAAAGATCTCACTATACTGATTTTGGGTCCAGCTGCATTTGGTTAACTGTTCACTGGGGAATTGACATTGTTATTAAATGTTAAATGCCATTTGAATTATTACATGCTTATGCAGCTTTGCAGTCTCCTTTTTATTTTTAGCTTCTTATATTCTGAAAACAAACTTCCCTATGTAAAATAATGCATTAAAATCTCTCCCTGGGCTTGATTTGGCATGTGCTGTTGACCTGATGTGACCCAAACCTGTGTTGTTTATTGGAGTGGGTGTGAATGACCACGAGGAGCAGAGCTGACAGGATCTATTAACAGACGAAAAGCAGGTGGAATATTCACAGTATGACATGCGCACCACCAACAAGGGCAGGACACCGCCTAGAGAAACTAATTAAGATCCACTTGTGTATTGAGACATCACCTCGAACACTCATGCAGTGCATTATACTGAAGTGTAGCAGAGGTGTACACTTGTGCGAGCAGAACTCTGGGTCACAGTAGCACAGACTCGACATGTTTTTAAACCGTGTACCCTCTCAGTCACATGCTATATGCAGGCTGCTCCTGCACTGGGCCCATGTCGTAGTAATCATGCTAGTTTATGGTGTTTGTGTTTCTGTTCCTCTGGTCATTTATTAACAGAGAACACAGTCCATCCAGCGAACTGCTTTTTCAGTCTCATAAGCCACTCTGAAAGCACAGTTAAACAAATCACCATCAGGCCGTAGTTGGTTTAAAACACTATGTTTATACCTCTTGTAGTTGCATTGTAATTGGTCCAAAGACAAAGATCTAACTCTTAAGTCAAAGATTTCATCTTCCTCCCTCTGTTTTCACAATCCCCATCCATCCCCTTGCCGTTCTCCTGAGCTGTTTCCATCTGAACGTCCAGTGTGTTTTTGACACTGTTTATCACATTTGTCTGCTCTCAGTGCTGATGAAGTGTGGAGTAGATGAGAGAAGTGCTCCTGCCGTGCATTAGTACTCTCTTTGTTTAGCCAACAAGTTTAAACAGGATATTGCCTTAAGATCTTAGCCAAGTTTGAGTTTCACATACAAACAGAATCAACCCAGTGTAGATATATGAATTACAGTCTGCTGTGCTTTAAGTGGCTCACCTTAGGCCCAGTTGGAAATGTTGGCGTGTTTGTTTGTTGCTTACAGAAATAGCTGATATCAGGTATTTTGTGTTTGATTGCTCACTGTTTGTCATACTCATGTCCTGGGAAAACTCTTGAGTAGGGCTGTAAGAAATGGTTATTGGGTAATCTAAAGGTTCTTTATTTGATTAGTCATTCGGTTCCATAGAATATCCCATCACAAGTTCCCAGAACCCATATTAAAACTTTGAAATGCCTGCTTATGTCGGATCAACACTTGAAACCCCAAAGATACTCTGTTTACTATCACATTAAATATTCCAATTTAAGAAGGACCAGAGAATCTTTGCTTAAAAATGTCGTTTTTGATTCGTTTTCTCTCGACTGAGTAATCTATTAATCAACTGCTTGTTTTCAGCTCTACTCTTGTGCAGCCAGCAGACCTAGAATGAAGTCACAAGATGATTGTATTTCCCCAAAGGTGAACTGAGTGAACCTGCGGAGGATCACATTGTATATACAGCACAGACTTCTTGTATAGCCTGCTGTATATAGTCTACCAGCACATACTACACATAGCTATACAGGCTGCATTTCTTTTCCTCTTAAAGTGACTAGGACACCAGACTGTTGTGGAACGAGCAGCGCAGCCTCGTCGCCTCAGTGCTGCCATCGCAGGAGCGCGGAGAGCTGTGAAGCCCCAGGGCCTCGTTGACACCTCTAAAGGTTTCAGCGGGTTTTGAGTGGTGTTAAGCCCTGGCTGATTAAAGAAGCATCTAACTAGGAATTACAGCTATGAGTCACACTGCCGAGGTGGAAACACTCGGAGCAGAGGAGTTCAGCTACAGTCTTTTTGGTGTAATCTCTTTTCTGCCAATTGTTCTCTCTGAAAAGGAGCTGCATCAGTCAGAAGACATCTAATGTTACCTCTGCAGCTGAAAGGCCTCTGATTACTGCTATGCTGTAGCAACATATTTTTTTTCTTAATCCTGAGCATTTATAACACAAACATTGGAGCGCATTGCACGGTGTAAGAGATCTAGCCAGAGACACAAGCCAACCATTTTCCATCCCAGTTGCCCCGTTTCTGTCCCAGTTGCGCCTCTACGAGCTATGGCGACTAGACACCTCTGAAGGGGAAATATAATGATGCCAGACTGTTGTATCGCCTCATTGTCCCATCTGTTCCAGCAGCCCGAAATGCTGCCTCTCGAAATGAATGGGCCTTAGAGAGACTGAGCATTGAAGGAGAAGGAATGGGTGGGCACTGGTTCAAAGGCTAATGTAAGAGAAGCCCAGTGTAAGTCAGAGTAATGAGGAGACTTGAAAAAGACATCAAGAGAAAAAAAACAAACCATTTTCCTAATAAGTAACAGAGTGCACTGATGTGTTGTTGCTAAACACAAGAGTTAGACATGAAAAAGACAAAAGTTAAAAGGAGGCAAAAACAAAGGCATTTGTATCTGTCACTGGGTCTCCAGCAGGGAGGAAGAGAAAGAGGCTCTTTGTGGCACGAGAAAAACAATGGTACTCTCTTTATTCATCACTCTATGAACCCCCCCACCCAACTTCTTCCTCCCTCTCCTCATCTGTGTGACTAATAACATGATGCCAGATGCCCAGCTGTTGCGTTTATGCACAGCAATTGCAGTCTGCATTCCAAAGGGCCTGTTCCTGTCAGAGGGACTGATTATTGTGCCAGACACATCGGAATAATTCAAACAGCTGGTTAATATTGTATATCCTCTAATGTTCCTCTGCTTTTGTCTTTATGTCTTTTGTTATTTCCCTGTCGATCATCCCTCCCCCCCTCTCCTGTTTTTGTGTGTTTGTTTGGTTCTCGGGGAGGCCGGCATGCAGCTAGTGTAAATGAGGCAGAGGTGGATGGCTCCGGAAACGGTGAGTTGCCCTTTTCTTTAACAATCAAGAGAGAACTTGTATTAGCTTGTTTGTAAAACACGTTTCATTAAAGTGTACTTTCTTCTCTGCAGTGTTCTCCTTCCCCTCCCTGCCTAATGAGGAGAGTCTAATAGGGGTCAGTAAACCCCTTCCCAAGCAGCTGTGGGAGGCCAAGAAGGTGAGACTGTTGCTCACTTACTATTCTTACATCAATGCCTGCTTGATGCTTTCTGTTTTGTTTGACATATGGTAACACCATACGCATGAAGATTATGATGTTTATATCCTGGCATTCATTGCTCTCACGTCTGTGTGTGTTGTTGATGACGAACACTCCAAAGCAATGATTGTAATGGCGGGAATCGGACTGCACAACATCTTTACGTCTTTTGAGAACAGTCAGATTAGGTGATTGCGACATCTCAAATTCCTAGCTTGGCAGAGACATGACAGAATACGCGTTGAACCAGTCTTTGCTGCATGACTCTAAATAGTTCAATCAACACAGACAATTTTTGGCATCAGAAATGTCAACATCCAAAGCATCCTCGACCAAAAAAACAAAAAAATCTTGTTAGTCTTACTGTCTGGGACGAGTCTCAGTCTTCTGTTCTTACACAAAAGATGAGATGAAACCACAAATTTTCATGCTCAATCCCAACAATCAACATCTTTTGGATCCGGATAATAATTTTTATTGCAATTCTGGAAGGAGACATATTTTTTGCTAATGTGGAACTTTCCACTTTGTAATGGATTTCAAAGGAATTTTTCAGCTCATTACATTACATTACATTAAGAATACACAGATCTGATAAGCAGGATACCAGTGTCAACACAGATGACAACACTTTTTATGCATTGGACATGACAATACACATTAAATTAAGTTTCTTTGTAAATGTCATAATAGGAATTCAGTGTTTCCACATTGAGTGAAAGTGGGCTGCTGACTCAGACTTGAGTGTTAGAGAGTTATTATCTGGTTGAGACGAGTAATGGTAACCTCTGTGTTTCTGTTTTAGGTCCAGTCTCTGGCATCAAGGCCTAAATCGTGTGAAGTGCCTGGAATCAAGTAAGTCTGAAGGCAGAAGCCTAACTTTTTCCTTTTTATTCCCAGATCATCATTAATGTGTTACACAAAGCATTTTAATGCCACATAATCCGTAGCTGCTGCAGCTGGTCAACAGAAACAGTGGAATCATGGAGATGAAATGCAACACATTCCCACCTCGTCAAACAGGATGTCTGTGTTCCTCTTTACACGTCTGACCCTCTTGTAATAAGAGGAACAATCGGATTCCTTTTGAATTGTTTAACAACAGTTTGCTAAGGCTATTGTTTTCTCACTGCAAACGACCTCCGGTGTCATGATTTAGAAGCAAACGGATGTCTCCATTTTTACTATCAATATATTAGCTTTCGAGCAGCAGTTCTCTTTTTACCATGTTGCCAGTAAGATTGCAACAGATCAGACATAATGTAGAGTTCATATTACCACACAGCAGGCAGTGTTCAATCTAAAGAGCCTTAAGAGATTTAAGATTATTAGAAAGACATCATTTTGACCTGTGCAGCCAGCGCAGAGGGAGACACACTGTATGTTTGTGGAGGCAAGCATTTGTTCATTGTTTTGTGTTGTGCCAGTTTGTATGTATTTGTGTGGGGACAGACAACAATGAGTCACTGTTGCTGTTGTTGATGCAGCATATGAGCAGAAATGGAAATTAGAGAAATAATAGAGGAAATGGAGAGTGGGTGGAAAAAAAGAAGAGGCTAGAACAAGTGGATGGGAGTCAAAGAAACATCTTGTCAATTTGAAATGGCAACGGCAGCACATTTAATGGCTCTACCTTTAATTGATGCACAATATTTACATTAATTAAAATGCATTCTGGGCACTGGTGTTGTTCATGATGAGTGAAGCAAGTTTTCTATGTACCTTCGCTGCAGTATATTCCCGTCTCCGGAGCAGAACCCCGGTCTGTCCCACTACCAGGGCTTGTTAAATACCGGCGGCTCCCTGCCCGACCTCAGCAATCTGCACTTCCCCTCACCGCTCTCCACCCCGCTGGACCCAGAGGACAACGGAGGGTACCCCAACCTCAGTGGGGGCAGCAGCACCGGAAATCTGCCGGCTGCCATGATGCACCTAGGCATCGGCAACTCCCAGGGTGGGTGGAGCTCAGCTTTACGGTTATGTGCGTGTATGGTCGCTACTACTATTTTCTTTTTTTGTTGTTGTCAGCTTTCTTATGCTGTCAGCCATCTTATGACTCCCTAGATCTATCTCACGGGTCCCGACCTCCAGGTTTGCTTAGGGTGTATGATGTGAAGGAAAATAAGGTTTGAAATTTGAACTCATCTAGTCAGTTCTGAACACTTGGTCTTATTTTAATACCTAATACCTGAACTTTAAAGATCTGGTGTGTAGGATTTAGTGCCCTCTAGTGGTGTAGTTGCAATTTGCAGCTCCCTCCCGTCACCCTTCCCTTTGAATATCGTATAATAATAATAATAATAATAATAATATAATACCTTTCTCTGCGTTGGTACCATCACTTAAGACAATTTGTCTCCATGCAGGATTTGTGCTGATTGTAGTTATGATAGAGTAATCATAGTTTACCTGTCATTCAGTGTGTTATCTGAATTATGTCTTTCAACATGGGCCCCTTCTGACTGTCGAGACTAAAAGATCTGTGTATTTCAGTGAGTCATCATCTGCTGGGATTCTAGTCTTTGTAGGTTTATTAAAGTCTGTTCTAACTTTAGACTGCTCCAGTGTTTTGAGCAGGTTCCAGGTTTCGTCCTCTGCCAGCCGACTGTACATTATGGATAACTCACTGAATAATCGTTCTGTCTCCAACTTCCTCACTATGAACTGTGCTGCCTGATCTGATCACACCCAACACTGCTCCCACTCAGTCTTTCCTTTCTGTGTTTTGTGAGCGTATGCATGGTTGGGCTCCCATGTCGAACACAATTCAACTTGGCCGAGTACCAAAGTGACAGAGGAACTTTGACCCCGTTTTGGCTTACTACAATCAGCTCTTTTCTTTTCACTCTGTCTTCTCATTTTCCTTTCCTTTGCCCTCCATTTTTCTCTCCCTCCCCAGTCACACAATAAAGTCTAGTGTTTTGGGTCGGGGACTGGAGAGCATTCTGGAAAATCAAGTATCATACTTCTTCATAACTTCCACATGTTGGTTTCTAAGGGCTCATATCTGCTCTGGATTCACAGCAGCTTTGTTAGTTTCATTCTAATGTACATCTGATGCTTCTTAAATCTGTCTCATCGATGTGCTCATGTTGTCTTTACTTTCCCTACAGGTCTCTCTTCCTCTCTGAGCAATCCCTCAATCCAGCAGTCCCTCAACAACTGTCAGCTGCAGTCGTCGCTCAGCAATCCCTCCATCAACTCGTCCCTGCGTCTCTCCAACAACTCCCCTCGGAGACGGCCCGCTCCCATCAGCCCCCTCACCCTGTCTCCTGGCACCGAGCAGCGCAGGGGTCTTGCCAAGCAGCTCTCTCCCACCATGTCCCCCTCGCTGTCCCCCATCACACAGGTACACACACCTCACACCAAAGGTTCCACATTCCCCCAACAACAAGAGGAATTGTCTATTTTGCATTGCACTGAAATAAAAAATAAAATTCATGTGCCTATAAAACTGAACATTATGAGAAAACATAAGTTGTTTCTTTTATACTCTTTTGAGCAGTATAAATTCGGACATATTTTAAATAAATTCAGACATATTTTGTGTTGAACTCCTGCTAGTTTGGCGCCTGGCATCTTCAATTTCATTGCACTTTGTAAACTAAGTACCACTGCTGTCAAAAATACTAGAGCTAAAGCAACACTCACAAATGTATAATGATGTAAAATAAAGTTAGACTTCCAAGTAAAAATTCCTACAATTGCAAAAAACACACTGGTGCAATTGTTTTTATTCCAGCTTTGATGGAGAAAGTGTAGTTGAGTAATGACACTACAATCAGAATAAATATATCCCAAAATAAATCCCAACTCTTTATTAAACTTGTAGTCAGTCTTTAGTGACTCCTGCTGGCTTCCTCTGTCCTTTTAGGGAGTAGCTTTGGATACCAGCAACATGCCAAGGGAGCCGCCCCCACCCTATCCGCTCTACCAACAATCCCAGCATGCAGTGGACCAGAGCCGACAATGCCAACAGCAGCAGCAGCAGCAGCAGCAGCAGCAACAGCATCAGCATCATCAGCAGCAACAGCAGCAGCCCCTTTCCCCCCTTCAGAACATCCAAATGGACTTCAACAACCAAGTGAGTGCCATGAAGAGTGTCTCTGTCAGGGGGTGTGCGCACGGAGAGCAGGCTGGAGGGCACTCACGTGCACACAATATCAGATTTTGTGCACCATGGTGTTTTGTGCATTTTCATAACTTGTTTTTGTCTCCCTGCAGGGCAGACATTAGTGTGGGAGATAAGATCCAACACTGACATTTTATTAACCTTCTCTAAGTTGAGCAATCACATTTACTGTGTAGTTTCTTTTGCTGCTGAACACAACAGATACAAATATTCTGCTAAGTGTCATTAGTTATAAATATACAGGTCTGTAATACCTCTGAGAATACTGACATTAATATCTTTATGGAACTGGTAGATTAATGATACACATAATGTCATATTTCTTAAACAAGTTGAGTTCTGATCATTAACAACCAGTGAAGGTCGATAGGTAGAAAAATACAGTCATTTGTGATTTGCTTACAGTCCTAAGTAATTATAGAAAGTTACATTAATATTGTTGTGTAACCACTAAGGAAGCCTGGTGTAAATGTGACCACAATGTGATATTTTGGGACTCTTTTTTGCTTCCCAACAGCACAACAACATGGGGACACTCTTCAACGACCCCTTCATGGAGCCACAGTTCTCCAATCGTCAGAGCAAGACCCTCCCCTATCAGGTACAGGTTGACACACAAAACAGTAAACGCACACAGAGTACTTGCACTTCATCTCCGAGGAGACAGTTTAACCCGTGAGAGTGGGTTGTTAATAGCATTGCAACAAGGAAAAAGACTTGTTGGCCTAGTCATCACTGTAGCGTTTCCTTATCAGCACATAAGTGACAGCCAACAGATGCAGAACACATGGATGCAAAAATGTGTCACGTTAGGAATGGGATAAATCTTTAAACATAAACATGTAAGGTAATGGGGAAATCACTGCTGCAAATGAGACCCTGACTAATTCAGTATTTCTTCTTACACAAAGAAGTTAACCAACATTTCTATGTTCTATTTGCAGTTTTACAAGGGAAATTACTCTGTGGCATCAGTTCATCACTCCACTGAAAATGTATGTTTTTGCCCTGCAAAGCTTCATTTGTCAGCAGCATGTATCCAAATTTTATGAATGGATTTTCATGAAATCTGGCTGACACAATAACTAGTAATGAAGTTTTTCTCAAACCACAGAGCTGAACAGAATGTGTGCTTGTCATCAGTTGTAGTGTTAATAAGGTTTTTTATGCACTGTGGATGTTATGAGAAAAACACTTGGAAGATATCACATAGAATTAAGCTGCCAGGGTGAACACGACGACAACTCCTCTCACTGATCCTTTCAATTTTCTTCCGTTTGCCATTTTCTCTCCACCATCTGCCGGCTAGTTGGACCAGTTCTCTCTGTTGGAAAACGCGATGTGCTCCACAGCAGGGGGTTCTTGCTTCGACCCTTCCTCCTCCTTGCTGTACTACTCCCAGGCTGCCCTCTCAGGGCTGGGCGGCAGCCATGGCAGCCTGCAGGACCCTAATCACATGAGGTCTAACATGCTGTACTCCAACTGCAGCGGAGGACTGCCCAATATCATACTCACTGGTAAGTCATATGGGTGGGTTAGTTGTTTTGTTGTCCATCATGGGCATAGTGCATCCCGAGAAAGAGGAATTCAGTTTTTGTTTTCATTTTGTTTACAGAAAACAAAAATGTTTGTTGTTATATAAAAATATCATTTGTTTGCCATTTTGTGCTGGGCAGGTAGGGGTAAGTACAGTAGCTGTGTCAGGACAGAACCATTCAGTAAATGTGCCGTGAACCCACCATCCACTCACATTACATGCAGTCATTTGATTCAGATAACTAATGCAGCTTTAAATAAAATGTTTACTTTTCTTATTTTGATGAGACGAGAAAAAGTGGCCTTTGACTAAAGATCATGAGATTTGCTACAGTACAGTGTCCTTTAACCACCTCTGGTGTGGCCTCACAAATAGATGTGCAGTGTGATACCAGAAACATTTAGCAGTTGTTTGCAGTAAAAGCATGAACTGTCTCTGGAGAGGTGATTATGATTCATTAAATTTTCATTGTTCACACTGCGATTTCACTGAATGCAAATATTAGCAGGAGTGTGTCATGTTAGTGATTGTTTCCTGTGGCTTAAATCATTTCTCACAGGAGGAAAATGAACATACATTCATGGAGTTGTTGACTTGTGTCTGTGCTGCCTCGGGCACCGGCTTTGTTTACTCCAGTTTAAATGGAAGAGTGTCAGATTTATTTTTAAAAAAGAGCTGTCAGGACTAACGATGAGGGCAGTGAGACTGTTAGATATAGCATGTAAGTGTTTTCCAGACAGGAGCAAACATTCACCCACCATCATCTGTTTCTCTCCCTCAGATGACTCCAACCCCAGTCTGTCAAAGGACATCAGCAGCGCACTCTCTACGGTGCCTGAATGTTTTGACTCAGAGGGTGGCTTCCCGTTGGAGGACGAGCTGCGCATCGAGCCCCTCAGCCTGGACGGTCTGAGCATGCTCAGTGATCCCGACATGGTGCTGCCGGACCCATCTGTGGAGGATACTTTTCGCAGTGACAGACTCTGAACATAAAGAGCGTCACAGGTTTCAACAACGAGAACGCACACCTGGATTTGCAGTGTATAGAGTGTACAAATCTGAATATGCATGCAAACAATCTCTATAGGGCCACTGTGCATGCATCCACTGCCACTAAGATTCATTAAATGTGAAAGACAATGAACGCGTGCATAGTCATGCACACATATATTTTTAAGGAGGAGACTTGTGAACAAACACTGTTTACAACTGCTTCATGCAAAGTTACCCTCACACATGCTCAAGCTCGTATTTCTCAGACATTATTTTAAATGGAGGATCGACGCAGTTTGGGGTGTGAAATCAGCACTGGGAGCAGAAGTAGGTCCAGTTCCGAGAGTCTGCACCTCCTCCAGACCGCTTCTCCCCCTCCAACCAAAAAGAGTCGGATGAAAACATGTGATACAATCCAGCGAGGAGCCAGTCCCTCCCGCTTCTTTCTCTCATCACCAGCTCACAGCCCCCCTGAAGCCGTGGCAACCTCGTTGCCATGGTTACACACCATGGCAACCCCATCGCCATGCTGAAGAGCAGCAGAAATGCCAACACACAGTTTACTTCCAGTAAATGAGGTAACGGGAGCCCAGAGCTGTTACTGCTCTCAGCTGGAGCAGTAACATGTGTCGGTGGCGAAACATCTGGCCGCCCAGTGTTCTTCAGGTGAAGTGAAAACCGGCCACGTCGTGGCTACTTTAGGCTCTCGAACAATCACGGTAGAAATGAAGACTAGAGAGATTAGAGCTTTTGTTTTAAAATGTATTTCTTTACATATGGAATCAGATTATTTTTGAGATGTTTGCCACAGATCTATAAATATAAATATATATATACACATATATAAAAGCCTCAATTTCAGTCTGATTAGAATGTATTTTCAAACTAGAAACAAAAAGGGCAAACTGTTTACAAAGATGAGATTTTAATAAGTAAATATTACTTGAGTATAGATTTTTGAATTTCTGATTGAGAAATAAAATTCTAACATGTATTGAATAAATGCTATATTTTTCCTTGTAATTTGGATGGATATTCCCCCTCTCCTCAGTCACAGATGAATCGGCTGTGATTTCCTTTGGCAGAACTCTTAGAGCACTGGGACAGCGTTCAAATCCATTTTTAAAAAAGGAAGTTCACGTTTTTTTTGTTCTTGAAAATACTTCTATGTACATTCATTGCATATGTTTTCTTTTACATTTTGTACTGACTTGTAATGGCGCTTGTACTGTACTTTAAATCTTGTTGTGAATAAGGGCATGCGCTGTGCTACTGTGGATCGATTATGTCCTAAATATCTTTTCTTTTTTTGCATCCGGCTTTCTGTCCTCGTGTTACGGCAGCACAGTGACCCCCCCCCCCCCCCTCCCCCCCCCTCTCCTCTGTGGTTGAACAGTCAGTGACAAAGAGAAAGCAGACTGTAATCATGTGGACATCGGACATCATGTAACATTGCACAGAACATATTTTGCACTAATTGGTTCACAGTGTGTACACTGATATTTTTACACCTGATAAGAGTGTCTTTTTTTTTCTTCACCTGATAACCCAAAGAAGTTGAATGAAGCCATTACTGAGAAAAGTGAGACTTTATGTGACTAAATATGAGAAGTCACTGCACCTACGCATATTTTAAAACACCGGCATCAGGTGTTTCATTTTGATACGTTGTGAAAAAATTCATAACATTTTATTTTCTGGGCTTTGGGTTTTGTAAGGAGCTCATATATATACACTTGATTATGTAATAACTCTGCCATTTAGGGCATTGAGTGCCCCCTAGTGTCTGTTTTAATAAAGTCAAAGAGCTATTTTTAATATTGCTTCTGAAAGGATTTTGGAGCAAATTTCTTACTTTGCTTCTTTAGCTATGCAACTTTTCTCAATTAAGTGGAACCTGTTGAACAGGTGCAACTTGTACATTATGCAGTGTAACATGGCTTGCAGGTTTATTTTGTTATGTTGACAATGTGGGGGGGGGGGATCAAATTTACTAGAAATCACAATATTACATGTGTCCAGTGTCCACAGTGTGTGTTGGCCCTCAGTCAGAGAACAAGAGCATTCATAGGGAACGATTTAAAGGAACTCGTGCAACATTTTGGATTGCAGACCAAATGGTGCATGGCACTGTTTGTTTATTTTAGTTTATTTTTTTACGTTTTGGGTCAGAAGATGTCACACCGGCACTGTGTGGACCGTGAGTTCTTCTGCGAGTGTGTGAAAGAGATTCAGTGTGATTATTTGTCAAATACAAAATGAAGAGGGGTGTCGGGGTTATCGTGAGGTCGTTTTATAAGAGTTTATATTCAATTACAGCTGTTATACGTTTTTACCTGCTCTCTGTTTAACTCTAGGAGACAGTGGGTGAGTGACGGAGCCACTTTGCAGTTTAATGTTCCTGTTTTGTGTTTTCTTTTTATCCGTTCCTCCCTCTGTCCCAGCCTGTTTGCTGCTGTCTAAACGCCTGCCTTTTGCTGCCTTACTTTGTTGTATTTTGACTTTTCATATTCCAGCAGTGACCTGTATCAGCTAGTAATCACTTCCCTTTAGCTTTAGCTCTGTTTGGTACTAATTGCCCATCGTTCTTTCCTGTCACTGTTTCGTTCGTTGTTGTTTTGTTTTTTTTGTCTTACTTTTTTTTTAGTTGCATATTAAAATGTACAGTTCTGTTATTTAAAGAATGTTTTTTTTTGTCCACTAGTGTTACTACTTTTTTTTTTTGTAATGTCATTTGAGTTTTGTTTTTCCCCAAGATATAAAATGTTCTTGGTTTGTAATAGTGCTTATCTCTCTGATTTAATATAAACAATAAAACTCTATACTGTGTATTAAGCTTAAAGGCTCTGTTGTCTTAAAATGTCACAGGATGTGGTTCCTGCCAGTAGATGGCAGCAGTGTGGTGAGGTGAACACATCCCACAATCCCAACATCCCTGTGCCCAGTTGGGGAAAAATAATATGTTGTGGGGATCTTCTCTTTCTGTATGCTGAGGAATAGTTTCAGAACGAAGTCAGATGTTTTTATGGCTTATTTACTTTCTTTTCAAATCCTTACCATTTGTCTGGTTTCACTGATCAGAAAGACAACTGCTTTATTTTTTAAACAAGCTAACAGACCATCAGCTTAGGAAGAGACTGAGCCAGACATAATTTTGATTAATTAAATTACATGAAATAATTGTTTCCCTGATGTCATTCATCCTCTGCAAACACTCACTGAACTACATCATACTTACTTTTCAGGACTGCTTTGTGGTATAATCTGTGTAACATCCGCACTTTCTTCTGCAGATTCTCTTCAGGTTTTGTCTTTTCTCTTTAGTGAAGCATCGCTCACCAAAATCCTGTTTTTATACAAAGTAGAAGAATGTGTTTTTTACTTGGTATCCCAGCTGTGTCAAGCTCAAAGGCCACCACAAAGTCCTTTCAGGTGAAATTGATGGCAGTAATGCTCAGTGTTTATTTGCCAACATCCAAATTGGATTCAGGTGGTAACAATTTGATGCTTGTTTCTACCTCGCTACCAGCCTGCAGAGACAACTGTGGGACTAAATGATGGGGGACAAAATTCACCAGCTTGAAAATCCTTCTTTGTGTTTCCCAGCTAAACTTAAGAACATTGTTTTACTCCAAAATAAGTGGGTTCACTTAAATTGGATCTCTTTACAGCCAGTATGCACACGAAGAACACTTAAAGCAACCAAAAACAGTTTCAGTACACACTTGGGACTTGTGAGTTGTTTTAGGAGATACTTGAAAAATGTGAAAGGTCAATTTTATTTTATTTGTTTTACTGAGAAAGGGTTCATTTCAACTGTCAAATCAGTTGTTCTTAATTGGTTAACATTGGATTTATAAATGTGACATTTGGTGCCCAGCAAGTGGGAATTGCAGTCCATGTGTTCACACAAACAGCATATACATAGGAGAGTGTGAGGCCAGTATAGTCTGGCAGATGGACAGTGTGGGCTCCTGGAAATCAGCCAGGCTTCATATGTAGGATGCAGTCTGGGAGTGAGTTCCCAAAACAACTCGCAGATAATCACAATCATCAGTCAGAGAGCTGGAGTTGGTCCACAGAGTGAGTCGAGGCAGGTCAGGATGCCAGCCTGAAATTCCTCTGAGGATGAGGTGTGTGTGTGTGTGTGTGTGTGTGTGTGTGTGTGTGTGTGTGTGTGTGTGTGTGTGTGTGTGTGTGTGTGTGTGTGTGTGTGTGTGTGTGTGTGTGTGTGTGTGTGTGTGTGTGTACCGTCCAGCTGGTGGGAACCTGAAGGAGTACTGAACTGAGCTGCTGGCAGAAAGTAATTAATGAAGTCTGTTGGCAACCTTACTGATTTAATTGTATTTAACTTTTATTTAAGTCAGTTAAGAAGAAATTCTGACTTGGAGCAATGTGCTATCTATATATATAAAACATTTGCTTATAGCTCATAGTTTTATTTTCCAGAGCTTTTAACTGCCTCTCACAGTCTTCATCAGTTGGTGGGTTTGCTCTGCAGTCATGGAGAAAACTCGATTACGTTCCATTACCAAAATTATTCATGTTTTCAGAGACCAAAAGGTTTGTTCGTTCTATTTTTTGTTGATTCTGGCGACCCCTGTGGACAAAAGCGGTAGTGTTTCCGACTGCCTCGTTTCATTGATTTAAAGGGGAATCCGACTGAATCCGACCTGGTGGCAGACATTGAGAATAACTAAATAGAAACAGCCAGTCTTCTCGCTGATGGTCATATAGAGGCATCAGTATTAAATTGAGACTGTTACATGACGGGTTAAAAACTCCTTGTAGTATGTTTATTAGTATTACGTCATAAATGTGCAGAAGAGCCAACTGTAAGCTATCTGTCGTGCTCCTAACAGCCGGCACACAAAGGTAGCGACTATTAACTATTATTAAGTAATTTATGAGTGCTATGGTTTCAGCTAGTTCTGCTGCAAGTGGCATAAAAGTCTCCTAACTCCTCAGCTATATGTGAATCAATGTGAATATAATTGATAACATATAAAGGTGGTGTGTGATCATAGACGTGTGTCTTTGTTTTTGCTGTATTGCTCCCTGTATTACACATTTCAAGAGACTGCATTCATCCTCCACTGGTACCTTTTTCTAAACCAATAAAATACTTTCACTCTAAATTCTCTGAGGAGAAACTGTTCTGTAGTCTCTTCCTCTGCCTTTGGCATCCAAACAAGTGTTTTCTCCAGCTTCTGCTGTGATAAATGTGAATGTACCTGCATGTTAGTGTCTCACTGCGCCATGAATCAGGGGGACAGCTGTACGTCGACCCTGACCTCTACACAGTCCTTAGGGTAGATGGAAGGGGGGGCTAAATTTCTTCTTGTCATCTCATCATGTCAGACTCCATAAAACTCCTCCCTCCTTCACCCACTTCACCTCACCCATCCGTCTATCTTTCTAATTTGACAATGTCTCATCTGCTTCCTGGCCGCTGCAGCTTGTTAACTCATTGTGAGAGGAAACCCCCCCCGTCCATCCCAAACTCTTTACTCACTCACTATTATGTTAAAATCCATTATTGTAGTGTCGAGCCCTTCTGGGAAGAAGTTTATTATCTTCTCTCGTTGTTCATCACAAGCAGATGCCCACATGGTTTTCATTCATTTTCATGTTATTTCAGAATGTATTTGCATTGTGTAATTGCCCGTTTATCATTGTTACAGGCAGAGTTCGCACACACACATACTGATCATGTGTTCAGTGTTTCCTTCTCTTGCATTTCTATTATAGTCATTTCTCAAACCGGGTTTGCTTCCCCATTGAATCATAACTTTGAAGGAAACGATGGGTCGTTTAATATTAAGAAATAACCCATATTGCTCTGGGCTCCAATAACAGTTGAGCAAACCTCAGTCAGACACTCTGTCTACTTTCTTCTTTCCTGCACTTACATATGCTATATGCTAAGCTATGTGCTAAGCTCGTCTATTCTGAAAAGACCAAAAGCAACATATACTTAAATAGTCACAGCTTACGTTCTCCAGTCAGCTACATCCTCTCTGTGCTACATCTATTATAATTGTCTAAAATATGAATTGTAAAAGAATGACTTGTTTACTACCAGTGACCACAGGCATTACAAATTCAGTCAGGAGTGAAAGTTTACGGATTATAACTTAACTTAATTACTCAACCACATCATTTGCTTTCGTCTCCACATTCTCTTCCCGTGTTGTTCGTTCTGTTTCTTCTTTTTCTTGTTTTTTTCATTTGCTCGCAGTTAACTGTTCTCGTGTCCTTGCTCTTTTACTGTGAAGCATCCTTGACTTTCACTGCCCCGACTCTGTGTTTTGACCACATGTTTTGCTGATGTTTATGTGGCTGAGCGATTCCTGCTCTCTCTCTCTCTCTGCGCTGTTTGGAAGCTAATTCCACCCAGACCCCACAGAGAAAAACTGTAAGCTGCGACCAAAAATATCTCCAGACTGGGTTTCTTCAGGTGGTTGTAATATTGATAAAAGAGGAGATAAAAATGTGTTTTGAACACTTTGTCCCTTTTTCATTGAAAGGCTGGGCAGTTTTCAAAAAGGGCTGGCATGCAATGAAAGTCAGGGAGCGGCCCACACTTTCTGATGGACTCAGTGCTCATTCACTGCAGAATAAAAGACTCACAACAGAGCTGCTTGACTCTTTTTAGCTGTTTGAGGCACAAAACATACAGTGAAGTCATTTAATACTCTTTCTGTGTGTGTGTTTTTTGTGTGTGTGTGTGTGTGTGTGTGTGTGTGTGTGTGTGTGTGTGTGTGTGTGTGTGTGTGTGTGTGTGTGTGTGCACGCAGGAGAGAAAAGAAAGAATCCATGTGTAATCACATTTTTGTTTTTTGAAAACCTGGTCAAGTGTTTATAAAAGCCCACAAAATCCTTTTCTAATAGCCCGGTTTCCCCCATCTGCAGTCCTCTACACCACACACACACACACACACACACACACACACCTCGGACAATGAAAATGGTCTCTTTGCTGTCCCTTGTGGTCGAAGGAGAAAACTGCGTTTTTCAGCAGCCCGTTATTTGGCAGCTGGACACAAAATCACAAGATCACGCGAGAATCCATCTCACCAGGCTTCAATAAATAAGACTGGTACAGTGGTACAGACCAATCAGTGTCCTTTGAGTACTTGCAGCTTCAGGCGTGGGCGCCGGACACTCTATAGGGAAGACACTGTTCGTTAAACCGCTACGGAGGTTAGCATCGATGCTGCTGTCAGTTATATCATTGGAGAGTTTTTCTTCATCGAAAAGAATTTTCTTGATTTGAATAGATGTTTTCATTCTTCTCCCTGATCTGATTGGTTGATAGACAGATGGTTCATCCAATCACCTGCTGAGTATTTCTTGAAAGTGCCCGCCCTTTTCCAAACAGTTTCCAACAACGACTTCTCGAATGGTCCTGTGTAACAAACCATCTGGCGCAGTCAGGTTAGTCATCACTATCCTGTTCCTGAAACCTGATGGCTGTGGTAACCACTGTATGTGGATGAGAGCCTTCAACAGGCTGTACAGTATCGCCCCCCACTGGATCTGTGATGAACTTCAGTGTCGATCAACTGCGATGAAACAACCTCCAGTTTCTAGTGACTAGCTGTTCTTCTGCGGTTATTTTGATGACAGTGAAGCAAAAGTTGTGAAATCAGTAACATCACATTACTTTCAAATAAAAGTAACTATTAATACGTAATGTATTACATTTTGAAAGTAAGTTTCCCACCACTGGTTAGCATACTGTGTGAATACTTGGGATCTGTATTTTTAGCGTGCTGGGCGGTCACACCTCTGCTGTTGTGTGTTGCGAGTGACTGAAATAGCTTAATCCCACACAAC